ATGCGCACGGCAAAATATCAACCGGTCGTCTCCAGGATAAAACAGCTCATCTCGTATGCTCGGCGGTTTGGTGCGAAAACCTCTATGAACACTCTCTCTATTGTGTTTCAGCTCGGTGTGGTGTGTTTAGAGGGCCTGAGGGGTCGGCTATTTATAGGAGTCGAGTCCCTCCAGAATATTCCTCTTTCGTGGGGAATAAGTCACGGTAATTAAGGAGATATCACTCCTTAATTAAAACCGAGTCGGTTAAGATAGATCCTGCTGGATTATCCTCCGAATATTCTTTTTAATCGATTATCCTCTTCCAACTCGTATTTATCTCGGATAAAGAATAACCGATTAATAATTAATTAATTTCGTTCGGAATTTTTTCAAAAATATAGTCTCAAGCTGAACCATCCACCCGACCGATCGGTCGGACGAGGGCGTGCGCGCGTGTGTGTGGTGGTTTATCCCAAATGAGAGAGGCTCCTATCTTTATACACATTTTACCAAAGTAAAACTACCAATGTGGTAGTTTTTCCTTCTTCGGACTCTATAGATTTCAAAACTATTCATTTCCAACATTAGCAACCACTACTATTCGTCACGAAAGCCCAGAAAATCCGTCACTAAATATCCATATTTGAAACTACAAGAAAAATCATATGAATGTTGAAGGAAGCTTGGTCAATAGCATCGAGATTTCAAGCAAAGCAAGAAGGGCAAGCTATCATGGATATTCTGGATTATAAAAAAGGGAAGGTTCTGATGATGTGATCAATCAAGGCAATCAAGGAATATCAATTGATTAACAGATTTGCAAGCAACAGTCGACTGAAGCAAATGATATAATGTTGGGATTCTGGGTAGATAGAGATCATCTTTTTCGGGCAAATTATCAAGAAGAAAAACAAAGTGTTTTTGTAGTGTTTTTTAGAAAGAAAAAGAACAGAGTTGTCAGGGAGAGAACTCAGGTTACAGGATTGGGGTATCAGGGTTGAGAAGTTGCAGGCAGCAAACTCTACAGTGAGATTCTGATCAAGTGACGGGGAGTCACACTGAGATCAATCAGTTGTACCTTGTAAATCAATCAACAATCATCATAGTAGAACGTCGAAGGACTCAAATCAGAGATCCTTCGACCGTGAACTAGTTGATACTGATTTATCAGTATCGGAAAACACGTAAAAAATTGACTGTGTCCTTGCATTGCTTCTTTGTGTTGGTTAAGAATACTTTCACTCTCTGTTTGTGTTCTAGCCTCTGTTTTGCATGTGAACAAGAACATTGACCTACAAGTGGAGAAGAACAGGGTTGCAGGCTTCGGGTTGGGATTATAACGTTTGAGCCCAACAGACAACACAACACTAACATAGGGCTTAAAGCCCATCTCAAGTTTATTTCGTTTAAAGTCCATTTCTATTACAGAAAGCAATAAGCTTTTATTTTTGACAATTCTCAATCAATTGATTACAATCACTCTGCATTTTCGTTTGTGCTGAGATTAGGGTTTGACGATTTCTCGAAGGAAAAGCAGTATCAAGTCTCGCGCTCGACTCGATCCACAAGGAAAACCCAATCTAAATCGAAGTGGACCGTAGTTCCTTACCTCCAGAGAGTGCCTAGATCCCAAGGAATCGATTAGAACGAAAGCTCCTTGAATCAACTCGTCCAAATCCTCCAAAAGATCCCTACCCGCCTCAAGCTTCAAGATTTAACGATCTCACGTTACCACTAGAGATTAAACGGACGTAGGAACTACTAGGGACGAGTATCCTTACCTTCCTAAGAAGTATGAAAGATTAGAAGTCGGGAGGAACGGTGAGTTGGGGAGATTTTTGTCGATATTTCAGTTTGCCGGCGAACGGGGAATAATCCGGCGGTTTCTTCCTCCTCCTTCATCCTTGCTCCTCTCCTATCTTCTTTTCATGTTCTGCTCGTTCAAAGAACTGGGGAGATTTGGGAGATGGAAAAACGTGCACGGGCACGGGACACGGTCGTGTTCTTACCCGTGTTCACCTCAAACGTCGTGCCTCGTTCCGCCAGTCCGTCGTCGTTTCTCGATACCTCAATTGACACGGCCAACCAACACAGACGCTCTTAGGCAAATGACTTGTCCACCAACCCCCGATCTTTAAAACGAGTATTTAATCGAACACGATCTAATGACACGGGCGTGTTCATTGACCGTGTTCTAGCCTCCACTGTCTCGTTTACGGCTTCGTCAAAACGGCACACCTAACCGAACACGGCCTAGCAAAACGGTCGTGTTTCGGGCCGTGTTCTAGCTTGTTCCTTCATTTTCAATGTGTGCTTAAACTCAACTGTCTCCATCTCTCTTTCGGTCGAACCTTAATCGCACCCAAACTCGAACTCAGGGTGTTACAATAAATCTTTTTAAATTTCTTGGTCATTAGTTTTGTTCATATATCTATAATCTACCATTAGATAACATGTTCAAAAACTTACAAACTGGTAGATGAATTAACAAAAAAGTGGTTGAAACAAAAAAGCAGAGATTGTATTCATTTGTTTATTTGCTTCTCAAGTTGATACTTAATATGCCTGCGGCAACAACAAGTGTTGAGAAATCATTTTCATCCATGAAATATAGCAAGAATGATCTTCGAAACCAGATAAATGGTTAGTGATTGAACGATGCATTGGTGACATAAATTGAACACGATTTGTGTGCTAGTTTGGACAATGAATGTATTCATTCTTTGATACTTTCAGAACATGAAATTTCTTCGTGGTTCATTGTAAGCAGTTTGGGTCGAACTCTTATTTTATAGTTGTACGAATTTTGAGTATTGTGCCTTTGACTTTTTATTTCGCCTAAAATTGCCATTTCTATTATGTAGTTGCTTTTTATGGTACGAAGAAAGATTAGCTTGATCAATTTACTATCTCTGCCACTATAGCTCGGGTCATATTTGGCTCATTGATGTATCAAGCCACAAAAATATACTACAATAATAATAATTATTATTATTATTATTATTATTATCTCTATAAAAGAACAAGTAATCAAGTTACTATTGCATAGTGTCGCATCACAAGGGGTGGTCATTTGTAATTGACCAAAGTTTGGAGAGGTTTTATGCCATTAAGGTACTAATTAATTAATTTACTACAATTGAACCCAAATCAATGGTTGTTCGACCTACTTCGATCCATTATAAGCGAGTTGAACCCAGTATTTACAAATTTGAACCCAAATCAAATTGTGTTTGACCTACTTCGACTCGGTTTAAGGCAAGTTAAACCCGGTGTTGACGAATTTTGGCTCAACAACGAGATTTGCATGGTTACTTCATTGAAGCTTGAAGTAGGTTCTAATTAGTTAACTTATGACAATTGAATCAATGGGTATTAGACCTACTTCTATCCGGTTAAAGCAAGTAGAACCAGTTGTTGCCGAATTTTGGCTCAACAACGAGTTTTGTGCGCTTAAATCATTGAAACTTGTAGGAGTTTTTGTGCCAAGGTTCTAATTAATTAACTTTTGACAATTGAACCCAAGTCAATGGGTATTCAACCTACTTCGACCCGGTTAAATCGAGTTGAGCTCGTTGTTGACGAATTTTGCCTCAACGAGTTTTGTAGTTGAATCATTGAAGCTTGGAGGAGTTTTTCTGTCTTTATAATTTTAATTAATTTATTTATGATAATTAATTCCAAATTGAACCCAAATTAATGAGAGTTCGACCTACTTCGACCCGAGTTAAGAAGGTTGAACCCGGTGCTGTCAAATTTTGCCTCAACAACGAGTTTTGCATGCTTAAATTATTGAAGGTTGGAAGAGTTTTGTGTCATATAGATTCTAATCCGGTTTAAGCGAGTTGAACCCGTTGTTTGCGAATTTTGACTCAATAACGAGTTTTGCACTTAAATCATTGTGTATTTGACCTAATGTCGACCTGATAAGATGAGGCACTATTTTTTTGTGTCACGTCAACTATGATTTTAAAAGTATTTAAGTTTGTTATTGATTAATCTAAGTCTTTTGGTCAACTGTTTTAACTAATTCTTTTTGCGCCAATTGCCCAATTTGAACTCGAATCAATGGATATTTTATCTAATTTGATCTGGTGTTGGCAAATTTTTGGGTCGAGGACGAGTTTTGTGTGCTTTTCTAATTGATGGGTTGGGCCGATGTGAACATAAGTTTTGGTCATTTCCTAAAATAGTTTGACCTATGATCATCAACCGTCCTTGGTTTGTAAGAATGAACATAAGTTTGAATTACTAACATAAAAGATATACACTACGACGTCAATAAAAATATGTTGTACGGATGAACTTAATTATAGAAAAGTTATGTTTCAAATACCTTAGTACATGCTGAATAGTTTATGTTACAATTTGATTGTATCACAATGTATGTTACAATTTGATCGTATCACAATGGTACATTATCGGTAGTTCAATGATAGCATTTGTTATCACTTAAATAGATTACAAGGTGGCTGATATCACACGTAGAGATTGTTTGTAATCGAAATATTAATCTGAGTTTTCACTAAACAATTCAATAATACCCTATTGGGATTTCATATGGCTCCCATCAGCATAGGGCCGATGTAGACAATACGCTATTGGGATGTCATTTTGCTCCTATCCAGCATAGTGCCGATGTAGATATATACAATTACCATAGGCCCTCTTTCCATGACTTTGAATCTCGATTCTCCCCACTCCCTTTGTAGATGACAAAGTTAGTCTGATAGGCAACAAAGAAAAGCCGAACCAATACATAGAAAGGGCGACAATGCAGAGAGACAACCAAACCGCATATTCAGATGATTCCAATGCACACCCAAATGCCAGAAAAATGGCGATACCTACAACGAATCCAGCAACCGTCAACACCAACGTCCGGACAACGACTTTCACACAAGGCCATTTATACCCCACACAGACCCAACACTCTCCTACCCATTCCCCACCCAAAAAGGGCAAACATTCCTTTTTGTCCTCTGCAGTTTCTAAGGCAAAACCAACTGCAGCCAACCATGGTAGTGCCGAAGGCTAACGAGAGAGGAAAGAATGGCAGCCTGGAGAGCCTGCTGGACATGGACGAGACCGCGGGGCGAAGGAGAAACGGCGGCGTGGGAGGTGGGAGTGGTACCCTGCCGCAGAAGATGGTGCAGGGGAACGGGCTGGTGTTCAAGAACCTGTCCTACAGTGTGATGAAGAAGCAGAAGAAGGACGGGGTTTGGATCACCAAAGAGGCGTATCTGCTCAACGACATCTCCGGCCAGGCTGTCCAGGGCGAGATCATGGCCATCATGGGGCCTAGTGGTGCTGGCAAATCCACATTCCTCGACGCCCTCGCTGGCCGGATTGCTCAGGGCAGCCTTGAAGGCTCTGTTCGAATCGACGGCAAGCCGGTAACTAAGCTAAGCTAATTGCTGAGTCCTTTCATTCTTGGCTTGCCAAATTCACCATTTTCTTTGTTTGTTAACTACAACTTGTAGGTGACCACAAGCTATATGAAGATGATATCATCTTACGTGATGCAAGAGGACCAGCTCTTCCCCATGTTGACCGTCTTCGAGACCTTCATGTTTGCTGCTGAAGTAAGGCTTCCACCCACCATTTCCAGGGCGGAGAAGAAGAAGAGAGTCCATGAACTCATCGCCCAACTCGGCCTCACGGTACTGATCCTCCTGATCACTTGATTTTTGTACTCTTCAATTCAAGCATTTTGATTCTGCCTTGTTTCTTCTGCAACTACCTAAACAAAAAAAGGCATTACCCTCTATGGTTACAGAGTGCGACTCATACTTACATAGGCGACGAAGGAAGGAGAGGGGTTTCCGGTGGAGAACGCCGGAGAGTGTCTATCGGAATCGACATCATTCACAAGCCACCGCTGTTGTTCCTGGATGAACCCACCTCCGGCCTGGATTCCACCAGCGCTTACAGCGTGGTGGAGAAGGTCAAGGACATTGCACGAGAAGGGAGCATCGTATTGATGACCATTCATCAGCCTTCTTACAGGATCCAACTGCTCTTGGATCGCATCACCGTTTTGGCCAGGTAAAACCAAATTTAACCAAAACTTACACAAGGGTGTTCTATTAACCTTGATTCTAATTGAATCATGTTGTGTCTCATCATACAGGGGAAGGCTGATTTACATGGGTAGCCCAGGCGCTATTCCGGCTTACTTGTCTGGGTTCAGTCGGCCGGTTCCTGATAGCGAAAACAGTGTCGAGTATCTGCTAGACGTGATCAAAGAATACGATGAATCAACCTTAGGATTAGACCCTCTTGTATTGTACCAGAGAGATGGGATCAAACCTGATCAAGTGGCCATGACACCGATCCCTAAACCCATCAAAACCCCTAAAACTCCAAACAAGAGAGCCGATTCAGGCCTTAGGGTTTCCATTCCACTCCAAAGCCAAGCTTTCTCTACCTCAGCAACTCCCAGAGCAGACCCATCCAGCCAATTTGACTACCCGGACGACGACGACGATGAAGACGACGACTTTGACAATTCACTGGAACGCAGTAAAGCAACTGTCCACACGCCAATGCACCACCACCATACACCAAGTGGATACCATCATAATCCTCGCCTAGCTTCACATTTTTACAAGGATTTCTCTGTTTGGTTGTACCAAGGCTTCACCGGCACACCACGCCGACCACCTTCATGGACTCCCGCTAGAACCCCTGGCAAAACCCCTATCTCCAACGCCGCCATAAGCAGATTCTCAACTCCACAGCGAATCCCTAAAACCCCAATTCCTCTCACCCTCCCCATCCACACATCCCCATCCCCTTCCCCTTCTCCGTATCGATATGAAACTACTTTCGAAGAAGATGATGATGACGACGACTACGAGGAAGAACAAGTGCTAGACCAGCCCGACCACAGGACCAAATTCGCCAACCCGTGGGTTCGCGAAGTGGGCGTGCTATGCTGGAGGACGATGTTGAATGTAGTCCGGACGCCAGAGCTTTTCCTCTCAAGAGAGATCGTCCTCGTGGTCATGGCCCTGATCCTCTCCTCTCTGTTCAAGAATCTAGGGGACACCTCTTTCAAGGCCGTGAACCACCTCCTGAATTTCTACATCTTCGCCGTCTGCCTCGTCTTCTTCTCGTCGAACGACGCCGTCCCGACCTTCATCCAGGAGCGATTCATCTTCATCCGGGAGACATCGCACAACTCCTACCGCGCCTCCTCCTACGTCGTCTCCACGCTGATCGTCTACCTCCCTTTCTTCGCCGTTCAAGGGTTCAGCTTCGCGGCCATCACCAAGTTCTGCCTCCACCTCAAGAGCAGCCTGTTCAAGTTCTGGGTGATCCTCTTCGCGTCGCTCATCACCACCAACGCCTACGTCATGCTCGTCAGCGCCCTGGTCCCCAGCTACATCACCGGATACGCCGTCGTCATAGCCACCACCGCGCTCTTCTTCCTCACCTGTGGGTTCTTCCTCAAGCGGACCAAGATCCCGATCTGGTGGCGCTGGCTTCACTACATCTCGGCGATCAAGTACCCGTTTGAGGCGATGCTGACGAACGAGTTCAGAGGGGAGAGGTGCTACAACGGGACGTCTAGCGACCTGTCGCCTGGGCCGTTGGGGGAGCCCAAATTCAGTGATCTACATGCTGGGTTGATCGCTGGAGGGAAGGCGGAGGGGCTTTGCCCGTTGATTGGAGAAGATGTGTTGTCGTCCATGGATATTACAATGGATAATTTGTGGTATGATGTTGCCATCTTGCTGGCTTGGGGAGTGCTTTACCGGCTCTTCTTGTATGTGGTGCTCCGATTCTACTCCAAGAACGAGAGGAAGTGATGATATTGCGTAGAAAATTGGATTGGGTTTTCCTTCTCTTTTTTTTCATTTTTATTTCTGTAGTTTTGTTTTTTTAATGTGAATGGGGAAGAAATTTATGCATGACAGCTAGAAATAAGGAGAAAGAGTCATGATACATGTAAGTTCCGTTTGGTATGTTTTTTGGATGGGAATAAATGATGTAATTTCAAATGTGGTTTTAATTTTTATACGGGACACTTTAAACACAAATAAACTGCGACATACACATGAGGATGTTTTGATTTTGCTAACTCTATCATTTCATTAATCTTGATACATGTGTTAATCTTGATAACTGTGTAGTCATTATCATTACAATTAGCCCAATGATATCATTCTAACACGACCATCAGTGATATCATTCTAGAGATTTTTTTTTTACAGAGTCGGGGTTAGCCCAATGGAATGAAAAAATACAATCATCTAGGAAAGACAGGCCCACTGAGCCCAAGCAAGCAAGTGTCTTAAATAAAAGAACATAGCTAATAAAAACAAGGATAAATACAATTTAATATCCAAACCTTTCATTTTAAACAATATAATAGCCAAACCTTTTAGAAAACAATCTAATATTCAAATCGTCAACTTTCCGTTCGTTTGACCGTTAGTTGACACTTCAAAAAAGCTTTGTTTAGGGGAAATTGTCACAATACAACTTTGTTTTCTTGTTTTGGCATTGCTGATGACTGAATATTTAGATATTCTATACCATCATGGTCGAGTCAGAGACTTCTCGGGTCTGGAACTACGATATGTTGGTGGTTTTTCAGAGAAGATATCGATGAAGTGTCATACTTCGAACTTTTTTGAAGTGTCAACTAAAGGTCAAATAGACAAAAAGTTGACGATTTGGATATTATATTGTTTTCGAAAAAAATTTGTTATTATATTATTTAAAATAAAAGGTTTAGATATTAAATTGTATTTACCCTAAAAACAAACTGAGCCCAAACAACCCCTCAAATCCTAGCCTTTTGTACCTTCTATGCTCTGTCGCCCCGCTGCTGGAAATCTTCAGGAAGTCGGACCACCACCAGCAACCCACTAGCTCAAAACGTTGGATTGTTGAAGCTAGCCCCCTAGATGGAAGATCGACATAAACAAGCAAATGGGACCCATAAACTCGTCTCGAAACCTTACCTCGTTGGGCCAAAAACTTTCAATAGCTCTCAAAACATCCAAACAAGAGCCCAACTTCAGAGTTTTCGACATCCGGCGATGAAAAAACATGGATCAGTCTATGCCTTCTAATTTTCAACCGCATCCTTGGAGGAGGGCATAAGAATCTTCGAAAATACATCTGTTTATGTAGGTTGATTTAAAAAAAAAATGTTTTCTTACTAGTTTATTAAGTTTACACATTTTTTTACATTGATCCAAATTGAGATAGATAAATTATTGACTTATACCAGATGTGAATAATGAGGGTGTTGTAACTTGTGAAGGCAACCCTATGCTAAAGTATTTGATAGAGAAAGGTCTTAGCAATAACTGGAGTTCATAAGCCGCATGTGAGTAGGAATGTAGGATTGTTAATGATGAATGACTCGGTGTCTTATTCAGAAATAAATTCGTTCAACACTCGATTCGTGTTAATCGAGCTGGCTTGCGAACAAGCTCATTAACTAAACGAACCGATCGAACTCAAGTCATACCATGTTCAGCTCGGAAACAAGCTCATTTAAAGATTTGGAACCAGAAAGGATTGGAATTCGTGGACTTTATGTATTGAAATTGGCGATAAATATTGTGTTTTATTTTGCTAGACTTTGCTATATGTTTGAATGTAATTTTGTGTTCAGTTATAGCTCAATCTTGAGCTATCATGAACATTTTATGAGTTGAACTCAATTTTGAGCTCGTTAACCTTATTTGGCGAGCCGAGCTCGAGCTTTGCATATTAAAACTCATGAAAAACTCGAGTCGAGCTCGGAAATATATTAACGAGCCGAGTTCGAACTATGACAAAGTCCGGCTCAGCTCGGATCATTAACAGCCATGAGTATGCTAGCGTTTCTTTTCTACAATCTTTGGAAACTATAATTCAGTCATGGCCTCGTACTTGGGAGCATATGTTGAAGGAAGCTAGTGATGTGGCGAGGACTAGTGGAAAGAATGTACGAGTTTACTGTGCGATTTAATGTTGATCTGTCTATTCGCTATGGAAGGAAAGATCTATTCGAGTTTTTGGAGGGAAAAAATGCATATTTTTTCTGCATTATTATGGCGCTTCAAAGAGTTGTTGCTTGTTGCGATGTGAAACACAACTTTAGGTTTAGAGTTAAAGAGTATTTATGTGCTTAGTAGTTTGATTTGAGGTTAACTGAGATGTAGTCACATCAGTACACGTTTTTTAAAGTTTTTTGGATGGCTTGATGGATTAGATCAAATGAGCTTACAAGAATATGCTAATTACTAGGACAAAAATTTATAGAGATTTTAGTGTATAAGACGGACCCAATATTAATGTTGAGATAGCCGCTTGACTTGACACCGGCAATATTGTTGTAGCTACTAGCTAGACTGATATGGTTTTGGGCCTTTTGGCGCTGATCCGATCCTTATGAGGTCAATAAAATTTGTCTTTTTACGTAGGATCTGGCCGACTCCGTCCTCTGTCTCGACTCAAACAAATGGCCGGAGACTCCTAGAAGCACAGGGTAGGGATGAAGCATCGATCAAGGAAAATAAATATTTTGTCAAGTTTAACTCATGATCCTAATGGCCTGTTTACTTGCCATTCCATTTCTGTTAGCTGCCTCAACAGAAAACAAAATTAAAATGAAAACGAAGCTGACCATTTCCTGGAAAACAAAACCTGAAAAAACCTTGTTTAGCTGAGAATTTTGGTGAGTTCTGAAACTGAGTTCTAAAAAGAAAACCTGTTTAGTTGCTTCATTCTATTTTCTAATTCTTGATTATCATACAACCCTAGCCATGATTATAATTTTTAATTCGAATTAAATAGTTTTTAAACTACAAATAAACACAATACAAGTACAACATCTTATATTAATTAAGTACTAGTACAACATAAAAATTCAAATAAGTCCAGCTTGAAAGTCATCCCACAACTTGTTTGCTATTCCATCTCGTCGTGCATCCATCGCTCGAGTTTGGGTTGAACTATGATTATATGCTCCTCGTTCTTGTCCTCCTTGCACTCCATTGGCATTCTCCCCTGTGCAATAATTTTGAGCACCTTCAAATAGAGTGTCGTCACCAGAGTGGATCCTAATAAAGTTATGTATAACACAACATGCAAGAACAATGTGTGCTTGTTTCTTGAGAGCGAAAGGAGGCATATGCTTCAAAATGGGGAATCTAGCCTCCAAAACTCCAAAACAACGCTCGATAACATTGCGTAGAGATGAATGATAATAGTTAAAAAGTTGTTTACGAGTCTTTGGTCCACCTCCACGATCGATATCTTGAAAATGACGTGCTTCTTTTGTCTTATATGGCGCTAGAAACCCAGGAATGTTTGCATATCCAGAATCAACAACATAATACTTACCTATAAGATATAAAATCAATTAGTCATATGAAATGTATACTATACTTACTAAAATAAAGAGACAAACATTTCGTACCTCGCGGTGGCATGGGAAAGTTGTTAGATGGGTTGGAAACTGTTTCAGTAAGAATTCTTGCATCATTTGCTGTACCCTCCCATCCAGCCATCACAAAGGTAAAGAGCATATCAAAAGAACAAACAGCCATTACATTCTGAGTAGTAGTCGTCTTCCGTCCTCGATATGGAATCTGCTCACCACTCGAAACCACTGCGTCAATATGAACTGCATCTATTGCTCCGATGCAATCCTGAATTCATGTGAGTAAGTGTCATAATTAAAGTACATTCGAATATTAATCCTCAATCATAAAGAGAATTGCTTACCTTGAAATATGGATCATGTTTTGAATCAATTATTCTTTCGGGAACAACTTCCAAATTTGGGGGAACAATGACCCTGTTTGCAAGTTTCACCACTACTTTCAACACTAGATTAAAGTACTTTGAGATGGTTGCAGTAGAATGTTGAAACCGTTCTGCAAGGTCGCGGAAGTCATTTGCGTGACCTATAGTCTTGAGGAAGATTGCAACTTGTTCTACGACCATCACATTAGTTGTATCATTCAACCCACCATGTTGCTTCAATTCCTCACACAAAGCAAAGAAAATTTCTTTATCCATTCGGAGTGATTCATATATCCTAATCGGATGCCCACGGAGAAGTTCTTGAACCCAAGCATGTCCTGTTTGCACTGAGGTTCTACATGGCATCCTAATAGACTTAGATTGCTCATTCTCCAACAAAGCCACAAGCATTATGAATTTCAACTCTTCATCAGAATCTGAATCTGAATCTAAATTCATAAGTTCTGCAATGCATAAGAACTTCATTAGAAATGGATAATAACCCAAATACAAGTGATATAACACTCAAACATTCAATTACAACTTAGTTAATAAGATTCTTACAATAAGAAAACATAATATTAAAATTCATCAAACATCATGCTAAAATTCATAAAACATCACAGTAAGAACTCATCAAACACTCAACAAACAAATGTCACTGCAGTTCTCAACAAACACGCATAGTCACACTAAACTCAACAACCATTCTTTCCTTCTCCTCTCTGTCATACGCAAGAAAAGTCCTCTCTTCAGTGGACAATCATGTAGAACATCGAAAGCCTTCACAAATACATTAGCCTCCACCTCCATTTCATCTAATAAATTCATGCATTCAGTCATAATGTCAAGCTCTTTATCCTGTGAAGATACATCATGCACAGGTCCTCCAACCGAAGAGGCGGCCTCCTTGGCTTCACGCCTCTCACTCTTCCTTTTGGAGTCTTCAGCCATGCTGATTATGGCATTCTCCACTGCATTGGTAAAGCCAGATTTAGCTGCTTTTCTCTTCTTTCCTTTACCCTTCACTTTGGGCAACGTCTCCTTGGCACAACCAGAGAATCCACCCACATTTTCTTCACCATCAACATCCACATCATTTGCTTTGCTAGGTCCACCACTACTATCTGAGACCTCGTGAGTAGAAGCAACAGCATTCGCACCAGAGGCAGTTGTATCACCAAATAATATGCACAGGTTTGCATACTCTGGACATCCATGCTTCCTAATAGTCCCCATCATCTTGTATCGCTGCAAATGCAACATTCTAATCAATTCGTCTTTCCTAAATACTACTTTCAATTCAATCACAATGACTAAAAATGTCAATTACCTCGTTCCACACCTTCCACTGCTTATCAGAGGCAGCAATCCTTCCTGTTACAGAAGAGTAACTAATTCCAGTCTGGCTGATTAAGTCCTTGAATTCCCGGTGTTTCCTCCTCATCAAATTAAATTTATTCTTCAACTGATCTGGGGCATAGTCCTTGTTGAACTTTATCTTCAACCCATTTACAATGTTGGACCATCCCAATTTAGTGAAAGTTGTCGTATGTTTGTTCCCCTTCTTTACTTCCTCGAGCATCAAAGCAATAAAATACTCGACTACTTTATCAGGCCAAACCTCGGCTCCCTCAAGTATGACACAATCATTATTGTTTACGACATCAATATCAGCCATCGCTTATCACGCTACAATTCAATACGAAATAGTTGTATCACCAACAAATTGACATCAAACAAAACAAAAGAAGACATCATTTGCAATCAAAACAATAAAGCAACAAATCTGTCCATTGTTCACAAAACATTACCAAACCACTCCAATTCATCATCACAAGCAAGCATGGATTGGTCGCGGCAAGGAGAGTAAGTACCTGGAATCGGCGGCTGGAGCCCTCTGTTGGAGGAAGTCGGGGCGCCGGCTGCTGCTTCTACTTCTTACGGGTCGCTAGCAGGAGAGGCTGGAGGGAGTGGCAGGAAACAAAAAGGAACTGTTTATTCACAGAGAAAGGAAAGAAAGACAGAAGGGTCCATAAAGAGTGAGCTTATGACTCCCAAAGAAGCAGGAGAAAGCAATAAAAACAAGGGGTAGAAAACACTCCGCAGCTGCAGCAAACCAAAAACAAAATGGAAGGGAGACCAGCCAAGCAAAGCCTATATAGAAAAGTAACAGCAGCAGAAAAAACAAGCACAACTGCCAAAGAAATGCTGGAAGTAGAAAGTAGAAAACATTCAACCTGCAACAACAACAACAACAACAACAACAACAAAACAGCATGTTTAAAGATCTGAGCAAACCAAGCAGATGGCGAAGCATATGGATATTAAAGCATGGGCTCACGCCTCACTGTGATCCAAACGTCTCGGCTGATTGCTGAGCGGCGGGGGCCGAAGTTGAGCGGAGGGAGAAGAGGAAGATGAGCGGCGGGGGCCGAAGTTGAGGAAGATGAGCGGCGGGTTGTGGAACGAAGTGGGAGGAGAGGCCGAAGTAGTCTCTAGGGTTGATTAGAGGGCAAAACGGCAGAGTAGGAGCTCGGAGGAAAAAGGGTAAAAAAAAAGCGCCTGGGGTGAATCGAACGCGGGCCGATCGGGAGGATTAGTGTGTTTTCCGCTGGGAAACGGGGGCATAACCCGTGTCATTATTTTCGGAAAACAGGTATAAATCGTTTTCCCAAAGCTTTCTCATTTGTAATAATTGGGTTTTTTCAGGGAAAATGGAATGGTCAAGTGAACACGTTTAAATGTCATTTGTTTCCTGATTTTCATTTTTTAAACAGAAAATGAAATGTGAAGTGAACAGGGCATAATTATATGTTTAGGGAATTTCGACAAAAAATAGGGGTGAGGATAGCATAACAACATTACTGATGTTGTTATTATAACAACAGAATTCATTAAGGGTAAATAAGTAAATTAACAAAAAATATCAAATTAAAATTAAACAAATAATCCTCAACCCCTAATCCTGCTCCTCGTATCCAATTTCTTCCGTTCCTTCCCATCTCCCTGCTGTTCCTTCTTTCTTCTACCGCCGGCGTCGCAAATCCTGTAATCCTTCTATGTTCCGGCGCCGATCAATCCCTGGATACGAGTGTCGAGGGAGGTCCAGGTCGGAGAGCGACTGCCTCGAGTGGTCCCGCAACCTCCTCTCCAAGCTCCTCGCGAACCTCACCCTCCTCGATGGCGAAGGAAACCTCTTCATCCGCACCAGGAACATCGAGAAGGTCGAGGGCGAGGTCTACGTCAACATCCACAAGGGGAAAATCATCCCCGGAAACGAGCTCAGCGTCGCTCTTTCATGGGAAGGCGAGGCGAAAGACGCCGACCGTAAGTCCTTGCTCAAAGTCGACGGATCTGTGGATCTCCCTTACATCTCCGACGAGAACATGGATGACAGGATGAGGACCCCGAAATTAGGGTTACGGTGAGCGACGACAGCCCGATCGTGAGGAGATTGAAAGAGGCGATGCTGGCCAAGGGGAAACCGATGATTGAGGAGAAGTAAGGCGAGAAGCTCATGGAAACCCTCACCCCTCTCCTCAAACAGATGCAGTTCCTCGTCGCCGCCGGCAGGTTCTAGCTTGTTGCTGCTATATATATAGCTGGACCTCCGCTTATTTACTTACTTATGATCAATTAATGTCCCCTAAGCCCAGAATTACAATTAACTACTTATATACACACTTCACAAAAATTCACTTTTATGGTCACCTGCTAGGCTGCTAGTGCTGATGGTTGACGGAGAAAGGGTTCAAGTCGATAAGCTTGACGGAGAAGTTCAGCTACAGGGCGAAGGATTTGTACGAGATACTGGTGGATGAAAACAGGTGGAAAGGTTTTACGCAGAGCAATGCGAAGATTAGTAAGGAAGCTGGAGGCGAGTTTGCCATTTTGATGGGTCTGCGGCAGGGAACAATGTGGAGCTGCAGGCTGAAACTGATCTTGCAGAAGTTCACTCGAAAGGACACCTCTCCCTTCATCATCAATTTCCCTGCAGCTGATTCCATTCTCCCTTGCGAACTGGTTATTTTAAAACGAAATAGAGAGACAAGAATTAATTAGGTGTGAAAACATAATTAATTAAGAGAGAACTACGTAATTATTTATGTATACGAACCCGTTAAGTATACACATTACTAATTATTTTTACTAATTCCATTCATCTAGTAAGAACGTCGGATAGAATAACAAACCACACAAAGCATACCACAATTATTTCGAAAGCATACCAGAAATCTCCTAATGCAGACCATAAATTGTCTAAAACATACCAGAAACACGGTAAAACAAACCAGAAATATTTCTAAAGCACACCAGAAACCCCCTAATACAAACCACAAACACGGTAAAGCAAACCAGAAACCTCCTAATGCATACCACAAATCTCCTAAAACAAACCAGAAACCTCGCAAAGCAAACCACAAAAGTTTCGAAAACACACCAGAAATTTCTTAATGCAAACCAGAAACCTCCGAATGCATACCACAAATCTCCTAAAACAAACCACAAACCTCACAAAGCAAACCACAACATTTGCGAAGCACACCAGAAACCTCCTAATGCAAATCACAAACACAGTAAATCAACCACAAAAAAAACAAACCATAAACGTCCTAATGCAGACCACAAATATATTAAAACAAACCAGAAACCTCACAATGCAAACCACAAAGTTTTTGAAAGCAACCCAGAAACTTCTCAATGCAAACCACAAACACGATAAAGCAAACCATAAAAGGTATAAAAAAATATGAGAAACCAAACCATAAATCTCACAATGCTAACCAGAAACCCCACAATGCAAACCACAACATTTGCGAAAGCACACCAGAAACCTCATAATGCAATCCACAAACACAGTAAATCAAACCACAAAACGCAAACCATAAACGTCATAATGCAAACCAAAAATATATTAAAACAAACCAGAAACCTCACAATGCAAACCACAAAGTTTTTGAAAACAAACCAGAAACTTCTCAATGCAAACCACAAACACAATAAAACAAACCATAAAAGGCATAAAAAAATATGAGAAACCAAACCATAAATCTCACAATGCTAACCATAACATCCGGTGGTCGTTGACCGTTGACCGAACTCCGGTGACCGTCAGTGAGCAGATTCCGACGCCGATAGGCATATTCCAGCCCCGGTGACTAGATCCAGACGCCGGTAAGCATATTCCGACGCCGGTAAGCATACTCCGACTCCGGTAAGCATATTCCGGCCACAAAATAGTATATTCCGGCGACAAAAGCATATTCCGGTGACCGGCGACCATTTTCCGGCGACCGGTGTCAGAATTCCGGCGACCAAATTTTTGGGCAGAAAATAAAAAAATTTATTTTTTTTATTTTTTTTATTATTTAAACATATTTTCATAATGACATTTATACCCCTGTTTTGATTTTACACTAGGTCAACTCAACTAATAAAAAGTCATCACATCCCTAACTTCCTATTGGTTGGGGACTAGTGTTGTTACAATAACAACACAATGGGTGTTGTTACAATAACCGGTCCCTTTTCTTTTCTTCTCCACTCTTCCGTGAAGAAGAAGAGGCAAAAGATGCTAACCAGAAGAATCATCACGAAATGTATCCCAATTCCACATCCAGCAGCAGCACCGCCATTTGCCTACCTGGCTCGCTTCCCGGCCTGCTGGCGGGTTCCGGCTGTAAAAAGCCGAAGAAGAAGTCAAAGACGGCTTCCGGCCGTATCCAGAGCCAGAACCCAAGAAGACTCCAGCCCAACCCCGGGACCAGTCCAGGCATTCGTCCACAATTCTATCCAAAACATCTTCCCTTTCATCCTCTGCGCTTCCGTAACCGTCACCCCGGCCAACGCCTTCGCGGTGGCCACGGCGGCGCTATTCATTCTCCTCGCCGGTGCTTGCGCACCTCTGATCTTTAACACCCTGACGTGGCGGGATGAACTAAGCGCAGGGTGGTGGCCAATGAGAAGATGCCATAATAACGAGACGAGCTTGGCGGATGTGCTTCCCCGGCCGGAATCGAATAGGAGTGCCAGCTGGAAGGGGGATTGGTGGCGCTTCAACATCGAAGATTTTATGCCGACCTGGGGAGATGCTCCTACGGCGGAGGAATTCTGGTACTGCGTCGTCTTTTTGCTGGCTTTGGGCGTCCTTCGCCGACTCTACATTATTGTGCGGGAATTGGGCTCTAAGGGCGAGGGGAAGAAGGTTTCATGAAATGGGGTATTGGGCCAGGATCGACGGCCGGCCCAGCAGGCCTCGGTTTTCGGAATGTCCACGTGGGGAAGCAGAGGTAGTCCACAATTCCGAGTTGTGTGTGTGGGAGTGTGGCCATGTTGTTACAAGTTTATGTATTAGAATGTAATTAGCATCCTGTCATTACGATTAATTACTTATATTGTGACCCGTGTGTTAGGGTTACAGTCGGCTGGGTGTAATATATCTACACCAGGATGGCAATGGGTCGGGTTGGGGCGGGTTTTGACAAACCCAAACCCAAACCCATGGGTTTATCCGTCAAAAAAACCAGGAATAAAACTTGTTGGGTTTGAAAAACTCAAACCCAACCCAATCAGCTGGGTATCCGCGGGTTCATGGGTATCCGCGGGTTCATGGGTACCCGTGGGTTTTTCTAGTAAAAATTTACAATAACAAGTTTCTTTCAAAATAAAAGTTTAACATCAATTTTCTCATACAAATTAATCATACAAAAAACACCAATCTAGAGCATACAAGCAAACCGCAAATGATCAATACAAATTGTTCAAAATTAAAAATAAACATCTATAAACAATAAGATTAATTGAAGGTTTCTTTCTCGTCAACTAAGTTTCTTCATTCTTCACTTCATAATATCAACTTCATTCTAAATAATTAATAATTAGAAAGAACAAAATATACATGTCTCCACAAACATAAAGAATATTAGTTGTTTAACGAAGATATATTAATTAGAATATTAAATATACCGGGAAAGTAATTATATGTGTGTGGGCGGGTACCCATGGGGCGGGTTTACCTAAACCCAAACCCAACCCGACCCGATGAATAGTGTAGCGGGTTTAAACCCGAACCCGATCCAAAACCCGTCAACACCGGTAAAACCCGTGTTGATCGGGTTGGGTCGGGTGGGTACCCGTGGGTTCGGGTTTTGTTGTCATCCCTAATCTACACATCCTCCAATAATATATAGTAGAGTTTTGTCTACTTTTCTCCATTTCAAATTTTCTGCAACGAGAGTGAAAGTAGGAAGGGTATTTTTGTCTTTACAATTAATTATTTATTTCATATAAAAAATGTCAATATCAAGATTTGAACCCTGGTCTCTTCAAACAAAGACTATAATCACAACCAATTACACTAAACAAATTTGTTATGTCCTTTTTAATACAAAACATGCATGAAGTGACACTCTGAAAATCGGTGGACTATTCCATCATGATTAGCAAGCCCACTAAGTCTATAGTATGTATTTTTATGGTGCTTGAAGTTGATACTGCAATTTTCGTAGCAGAGTTTCATGTATTTTTATGGAAGAGACTAATTCTATTACTACATGTTGTTTTCTTGCATTTTTCAATTTATATTTAAATTTAGTACTTTTTTATCTTTGTTCTTAACTCTTTCTAACTTACTCTGAAATTTTCTCCATCATGCAATAGTTTGCTCCCCTTTCACTTAACAAATCCGCCTTTGAAAATCAATCTTCTGGTATCTCTTGGCACTATGATTTTATTGTTAGGGATTTAAACTGGGCAAGTAGAAGATTTCAAATCTGATATCAATCCATGGAGAATATAATGGAGTTCAATAAATGGAGTTGCAAAAGGAGGATTAGAAATTGAATTTTTGGTTGAAACATAGGCCTCTTGAGATTAAAGATAAAGTTGATAAAAATTTGATTGTACAACTAAGGGTGGTGGCTATTAGATCTTTAGTTCTATGGTTTTTGAAGATATCACAACTTATTTCTATCTTAAAATGAGGAATCATTAATTGATTTACTGAAGTAGGTCGGTCGATTTTTTATTCATCCTACTGGGACTGATAGATGAGGAGTGTCTAATTTTGTTCCTTATACTTTGATAGAGTCTATTAGTATATTGGAGGTAACCCTATTTTTGGCGTTTGCTCTCAAGTTTTTATGGTCTCCTCTTAGCTGAATTGTTAGTATATAGTTGACTTGAATCAACAACTTTCCGTTTCTTTTTTATTAGTGGAATGTTGTTCCTAAAATGAGAGCATTGAACCTTTATGTAGGAATGCCAAGTTTAAGATTTAGTTTCACACTATCTATGGTTTGTGTGGGAATTTCAGTGAGCTTTTCTACTCTATCTTTCTTGACAAATGACAATCAATTAACCAATAGCATTTTACCAGGGACTTAATTATCATTATGAAAATAAGATCAATGATACAATTTTTTATATTTTTATACTCTTAAATGATGATGAAATTTCTCCAAATATTTGACATATATATATTCTTTCTTTATGTATCATCTCGATCGAAAGATTGTCAATAAAATTATATGGGTTGATAGATATAAATGTAACATAAAAATATAAATAATCAAATATGAATATTCCGGCCAACGGGCCGGGTTATAAGCTAGTAATATAATACGCCGAAGGGAAAAACGGGAGTCTCATTTCAAATTTCCCGCAACGAGAGTGAAAGTAGGAAGGATATTTTGGTCTTCACAATTACTTTTTTTATTCGTTAAAAAGACAAGTACTAGGATTCAAACCATGACCATTTTAAAGAAAAGCAAGGATTATAACCAATCACACTAAATACATTTGTTGTATCTTTTTAAAATAAAAACATATAATAGCAGGGAGGAAAAAACCCTTCCCCATTTCAAATTCCCTGCTACAGGAGCGTTTGTAGGAATGGTAGAATAGGGAGTGTCAATTTTTTCTCTGTCCTCTGTGGAACGGGCCAACTTACCGTACACATGCAAATTTAAACGGGTCCAGGAGTGTCAATTTTTTTCTTTAAGCCCTTTTATTTCTCCGTGGTGATGAAATATATATGAAAAGGCAAAAACAATACTTCTTTTTATTGCTAAAAATAAAAAATTTAACAATAAACTAATGCATCGTATTTAATGGGCTAACCGCTATCCATAAAATAAAAGAGTTGAATAGGCCTGACCTACACGGGATTTGGTCATCAAGTAAAACAAATGAACATCATTGGTTTGACATTCTAAAATAAGCTATTTTTTCTGGCATAATATATATTATGCTATTATTTTATATCGTAGTGGCTAAAATATAATGTATTTTAAAGTTATTTAATGGTTCAACCTCGACCAACCCAATTAGTCCAATTTTAATCATTTCAAATATATATTATATAATTATTTGATATCATAATGATCAAATTATAGTGTATTTTATATGAATCGTTTGGTATTTGTTAGTAAAAAAACTAAACAGAAAAATCTATTTGGTTATTTTAAACATTAAAACGATCTTAAACATTTTCAGTTCCTTTTGAATTTCTATGGTTTTATTCCCAAATAAGTGATGTGCAAATGGCGAATTGCAGTCATCTCTTTTCTTTCACTATTTTTTATTTTCAAATAGAAAGTTTAAAAGTAAAGAATAATTAGAATTTGGCATGAGTCGGTCAAACAGGCTGAATTTCAAGTTTTGGCCCGTTTTGATCAAGTCTAATTTATAATTATATGGTTCCCTGATACTCGATAAAAATCTTAATCCAAACCAGCTTGGCAGGTGAGTCCGTGTTTACCACCATTTTCTAGGGATAGGACAATGGCGGTTCCTATCCCAAATCGTGTTGTTCGTTCTTGATTTCCTTAGATTTTATCATGGTCTGACAAAAACCAGAAAGCACAATGAAGACAAGATGAAAGTGTTGTAAAGCAAATTAATCGGCCAACGGGCCGAGTAAAAGCTAGCAACGATTGTGAGATGCTCATTTCCCAAAAACCGACGGGATAGGCGATTTTTTATTCGATTTTCTGGAATTCGGTTTCTATAAACTTACTCCACCTCATCATATTACCAGAAACAATATTGTTTCACAAGGTAACATGTACTTGATTTTGGTTCATAAGGCCAATTTTTTATTCGTTGCAGCATTCATGTCTCTTTCCTGCTAAAATTCACTATTTTTATCACGTGTTTCCCAAAAAAACTATACAACAATAAGCTATACAGCCCATTACATTATCAAATTCCATACCTCATCTTCCTCCGGCCAACTTGCCGGGGCCAACGCTAGTATTTATATATATATTGAATAGCTGAGACTGAAAAGTGTACCAAGTGTATGAGGAATAAAACGACGCTACACCTTGTGTCATGATTATTCTTAATGATTATTGATAAAGCTACACTACACCTTGCGTAGTGTATTTATTGATTCAGGTGTAATTGCACATGTTTGTAACCCTTTATCTTGTGATTTGTACCCCTTTATCTTGTGACGTTTGTGGCATTTGCATCACCCGAGGAGCAATTTTACGCTAGGTTTGTGCTTGTTTTAGCATGTTTCAGATATCAGCAGTTGAAATTAGCTTCGAGATCTAAAGTCGAACAAAAGAGGGCAAAACAAAGCAAGGATGGACAAAAGACGAAGATCACGTGCAGGGGAGCATTATCACGGGCAGCGGACCGTGAGATGGAGCTCTGGCAGTGATGCTAGACAACTTCTAGGAGGCTTAAGATAGGGGTGGGCATTCGGTCGGTTTGGTTTCGACCGAACCGAAATTATGAATACCGGGTCCCCGAATTCTCCCAAACCTCAAACCGAATTATAATTCGGTTCGGTTCGGTTTTTCACACAAAACCGAATTTGTGAAGGTACTTGTATTTTCTCACTTTTATATTATTTTTCACCCCTAATATAAACAATAAATATCAATTATATGCATCATCAATGATAAAACCAAATTTTTCAACACATAAGTCTTAAAACATTTCAAATATTTAAGTCTAAAAACAACTACAAACATAAAAATCCATCATTTGGAACTTGCAATTATAGTATTTCGGTTTTTCGGTCGGAAATTCGGTTCAGTTGAAAGAGCCCTGATTTCCGAACTCTCCATATTTTCCTTCTGAATTCCGAATCGAATAGCATTAATTCGGTTTCGGTTCGGTTTAATTCGGTTTTGGTTCGGGTTTACCGAACCGTTTGCCCACCTCTAGCTTAAGATTTGGGTTGGAGGTTCGGTTATCGGTTACCGGTTAACCGACCGGTTAAACCGATAACCGAAAATTATATGCTTCGGTCGGTGGTTGGAGCTCCTAATAGGTAATTCGGTTAACCGAGTAACCGAAAACCGGTTATCCGGTTAACCGATAATAATCGAAAATAACCTACCGACCACCCCCTCACCAAAACGATGTGAAAATACCCGGTTATGCAGTTTATAATTTTATGTTGTTGAATTTGAGACATTAATTTGGTGATTTAGATGTAGAAATGTAAGTTAGAACCTTCCATTTTAGGCAATTCTAATAATTTTACCCGGTTAAAACCGAACCACCATAATATTTTGGTTATCTCGATTAACCGACCAACTAACTAATAACCGACCGGTCGGTTATTGGCTAACCGAGGCATTAACGTCGGTCGGTGTTCGGTAGGGGGAGATGGTGGTTCGGTTAACCGGTAACCGACCAATTGGTTATCGGTTATAGCCGAACCGAATCCACCCCTACTTAAGATGTCTCGCGGGCAAGGCAAACATTGTCTTTTGCGGACTCCTTTGAGAATGAAGTCACGAGCTTGCTTGCAGTTCTATTATGTTTTCAATAGGTGCCGAGAATTAAAGTTAATCTGGAGAAAAGCAAGTTGTTTCCTGTTGGTGATGCCCAACAGTTGGAGAGATTGGCGGATCTCCTTTGTTGCAGTTGGGAGGACTTCCTCTTGGTGCCTCACCTCTCACAATCAGCATCTGGAATCCACTTATTAATAGTGTTTAGGACAGTTGGAAAGGGAGTCTTTTGCTTCGGCGGTAGAATTGTTCTCACCAAAGCCTGCCTTGCTAGCCTCCCAACGTACATGTGTTCCCTCTTTCGTGCACCTCAACATGTGGCTAAGACCATTGAAGAATTCAATGCTCCTTCCTCTGGTCCGGGAATCATGAACAAAAGAAATTCCACCTGGTTACGTGGATCGCTACAAAATGCCCAAGAAATTGGGAGGATTAGGTATTCCTGATCTGAATAGGCATAATACATCATCTTTGTCTAAATGGTTGTAGAAATTTGCTAACGAGGAGAGTTGGTGGAGGAGGTTAATGATCATCAAATACCCCAATGAAGAGTCTAAGTGGTTTCATGTTAAGCTCTTCAATTCGGCTGGTTGCAGTCCTTGGAGTCAGATCTACAAACTGAAAGACGAGTTCTGGAAGTATGCAGTCATTAGTCTCGGGAATACTGGTGAAGGGACTTCCTTTTGGAAGGACCAATGGATTAAAGAAGTCATCCTTGCTGACAGCTTTCCACGAGTCGCGGCCTCTGCTGAGAACCCCGTGCAAAATTACCTGATATCCTTGTAGAGAGAGTGAAAGTTTTTCATTTAATATTCTACTTAAATTTCAACTAAAGGGAGGGAAAGGGAGGGAGAGGGAGAGGTTATTGTCCTAATTTTTCGACAGGGGAAGACAAGATTTCGTAGATGTTAAACTCTAAGCAGAAGTTCTTCGTGCAGAACATGTACTAGCAGCTAACCAAGGAGGCTTTTTTGGAGGTTACAGTAGGGGGAGTTGGAAGATTTCCCTTACAGAGTCATCTGACGGCCGCACATTCCGTCTAACATCTGCTTGTTTGTGTGGTTGGATTATCAACGGAAAATCCTTACTCAAGACGCACTCAAATGTAGAGGATGGAGCTTGCCTAACATATGTCCATTATGCATGATGAGTGAAGAGGACGTGAGTCACCTGTTATTGAATAGCAGTTTCACGTCTCACATTTGAGGAGTCATCAGGAGATTTGTCCAGCTTCGAGGTTGTCATCTTCAGGGAGGCATTGCTGAAGTTATCAAAAGTTGGCTTATTATCTTGAACCGAATTGTAACTAGATACAGATTAAAAGAATGGGGGAAGATAAGTGATGTAGTGTGTGTGATGCGTGCTGAGGAGGAGGAGAGTTGATCTCATTTATTTTGTAATTGTGAGTATGCTGGGAGATTGATTTTCACAGCTTTTGGTAGCCTTCTACGAAGCGGGGGGTCGAATTGGGAGCAGACGTTGCAGGAGTTATGTGTTCTGGCTAAGAAGGGTAGGGAAGGTCCTGTGATTAGGCGGTTTGGTGTTGGATTTGTAGCTTGGTTTGGAAAGAACGATGCAGGCGTATATTTGGAGAGCAGGCTAAACCATGGGAGATTTTTCTCTTGCACTTGCGAGAAGAGTTTGGGTTGTTGGCAATTGGAAATGTTCACTTTATGGATTCTTTGCAGCATAGTAGTATTTTTAGAAACTTGATTTACATTTGTAGCTGTCGAGATAGTTTCTTTGTAAGGTGTACATCTGATTTTTGTGCGACTTGGTCGTTTGATCAAGTGAGCTTAATGGTAGGGCTGAAAATTGCTTTGTCCCGTCCCTGACCCTGTCTGACCCGTCCCTGAAGGGTCAAGATGTATAACTGTCTCGTCCCTGTCTCCTTCTTGACCCTGTCTGACCCTTAAGGAATAGGACGGGTCAGGACAAGCCAGGTCAGTGGGTCGACCCTAATTTACACACTACTTTTTTTACAAATTACATTTTGGTACCCAAAATTATTTTTTCTTACAATTTAGTACCTAAAATTTATTTTTTTTTGTACAAATAAGTCCTTACATTTTTGTGTTAAAATTACATTTTGGTACCCAAAATTTTTATTTTTGCAATTTAGTACCTAAACTTTGAAAACTTTTACAAAGAGATCCAATGTGGTATGGGATATTTATTGTTGCTAAGGGTCACAGGATCAAAAAGTGACCCGTCCCTAAGTTGTCCGGACCCGTCCCGACCCTTACAGGGTCAAAAGCTGACCCGTCCCGACCCTCAGGGACGAGACGAGTCGGGACGGGTCAGTGGGTTTTTAGTGTCAAACTTACACCCCTACTTAATGGAAACCTAATTACCGGGGAAAAAAATTCTTTATAACCTATTGGTATATAATTGAAGCTAATGAACATGAGATACTTGGTTCTGATGTCATAATGGGTGTTTATTTTTTGTAGACATGTGTAAAAGTTCTAAGATTTGATTTTTGGTCTAACCATTTATATTTTTAATTTTGATTGGATTTGACCAAAATTTAATACTGGCCCCGTTCCAACCGGTTTGATGACAGGTACCAATTGTTCTCAGTTGAACCGGCGTGCAGGAAGTCGGCGTGACAACCATGCCGACCTCCCACTTTGTGGGCAAGTTTAAAATTCTGAAATCCAATTTCTGGTCCATACTATCAATATTCCGATTTGACCCAAATTGGCCAAAATTTAATGTCGACCCCTTTCTCGCTCTTTTGTTTTTTTTTTTTTTTTGACAAAGATGGTGCTTATATTTCACTCCGAAAGAAACTCGGTTACAACGAAAGGGATACACCCTGAAAATCAACTACAAGAAAGAAAGCCCAAAGAACCAGAAGATTGAAAATGGAGAGAAAAGGCCCAGAAGCAAACAGAAGGGCGACACAACATCAACACAAACAGAAAGACAGGGGAACCCTTTTCATGAGCCGGAAACAGAGGATCCAGGAGCCATTGTAATCGCATCAAACAGAGTGAGACACAACAGAGCTTCAGCTCGCCCAAACCCAGCCTTGACCATGGATATTGAGCAAAGCAACACCATATGCCGCCTTCTGGGGGTAGTTCAAAGACACCCATCACAGTGAATCGCCGACTAGGGATTGCGCGGCGGTAGACATTACTGAGATTAGATTGCTCAGAGCTAAAAAATGACAAATGGGACTGGAGCGGAGAGAACCATGATACAACAGTGAAGAGATTCATCTAAGGGTTGAACCGACCAGAAGAAAAGAGCCACAAACGAAGGAAAGGAGAAAGAGCAGAACCGACCAGAGGAAACGATATGAAGAGACAAACGCCAACAGAGAAACCCCAAACAAACCCAAAAACTAGAACCCAAGCAGCAGCCCCAACAACAACCCCAACACCCAAACAAATCAACCCAAGATGAATCTCAAAACTTTCCACAACAACCAATCGACGCACCGAGGAACGACGACGGAACGGGAATCGGTGAATGTCATCACCCTAGAAGATGACCGCACCAAACTTGGATAGAAACCCAATTTGCATTCTCCGAACCCAGAACAGAGCAGAGCCAAATCAGATCTTGAAGATCTGGAGCAGAAACAGGACAAAACCTCCTCTATTAAGAGGGATGTGGAAAATCCCACTTAGGGGAAGGGAAAACGCCATTACGGCTGGAAAAAGTCAAGGAAGGCCAGGAAAAACAACTGAAAACCAAAGAGGAAGCTGAGGAAGAGCAGGAGAGCAACAGGATGGAAAAGAATATTTGGGCTACCGCCGGTCACCCAGACGTGCCGGGCGGCAGCCCTAACGGGAGGAAGCTGAAAAACAAGAGAAAAGTCTATTTCTCGCTCTTTTGTTGAAAGATACCAATTATACCATATTGAACCGGTCGGCGGGACAACCATGCCTGAGTGCCGACCTCCCACCTCTCTCTTGGAACATGAAACCGCATTTCTCTTCTTTTGGAGATTAACTGCAAATTGGAGTTATCAATTAATTGTTAAAATTTTGAATTTGTTTTAGTTTTTTTTTTTTTGGTATCTTACAAATTGAAATAAACACCCATTATGAGCTCCTAATTTAAATAAAGAAGATAAAAGCTCGATTAAAAAATAAGAAAATAAAAATATCATTTAATCTCACAATTTAGATCTAACGTCGAGTTGATCTGTATATGTAATTATGCAAATGTGTATGACCATATGCATCCGATCTTAGACCTCTACCACGTGTAGGCCATCCTTCACACTGCAGATTCAGTCATCCCTTCCCGCAGGCGCCCTCAATGGCCGCCAAGGCGCCAGCTCGACACGTCACAAAGCCTTCACCTCAAGTTGAAAACGCCGCCCTCGCTTACGAGGCGGGAACCCACAGCCATAGATTCGGCGGAAACCAGAGAAACCCCACCATCCAAATTCCAAACTAATAAAGTGGCAGCCTGCTAAGCGTGGCGGCAGAATATAATATAAAATAATTAAGAATTGGGTTTTGCTTGCTCGCTCGGGAACACACAGAAAAATCCAACCTCTGGCATTAGTTGACAACAGACCCCACCAGTCCCACCGGCCATCCCGTTTCCACCTTCCTCTCCATCCCCTCCTCCTCAAAATTCAAATAGAGGTGTATGTATGATCCACTATAATCCATCCGAAATATAAAGCAGTTGAACTACAATTAAAAATACATATAAATCACAGTTTCATGACAAAATTTGTGAAATTGTATTATATTGATGATCCGACCCCCATAATTTTCAGCAAAAATTTAATTTGATAGATGATTTAACGATATAAAATCACTGAACAACAATTTACATACGAATTAATTACGAAATAAACTATCAATACAAAGGAAATATTTCTATATGCCAAAGAGTAAAATTGAATGAGTCAAACATCCAATTGCAAAATGGAGGAGGGGATTTGAATGGATATCATTCAAGGGGTTAATTAATTTTGGTGGAAAGCGGTGGGACGGCAAAGCTGTACACGTGCCGCCAAACGGTGGAGACGATAAGCTGTAACACCACTCACCGCCATTCCGCCAACCAGGTCAACACGGCATTCCCTTCCTCCCATTGATCTCGGCGGCGGGTCCCTCTGCTGTACCATTTACCTTCCGACGGCCACCGCTTTCCAACAATAAACAACTCTTCTCCGTTCTCAACGCAGTTATGGTATTCGCCGCCTTTCTATTATCTTCCCGTCGGTGGCTTACTGGCTTTCGCTAATTAATTCAGATTCTTACTTGAAATGAAACCCAGCATCATGAAGGGAGAATAGAAAGAACTTCAGATTTGAATATACATCCGAGCTTACAACTTGGCACCAAATAATGAACAACTCAACTTAGATTGATGAAGAGTATAATACATCACTTCTTCTCTGATGGGTTGCAAAAATAGAAAAAAAAAAGGATTTCGTTTCCTTCCCCGAGTTGGGTTTTCCTGATGATCATACGAGAGAGACTTATTTACATCAAAATGGTGGAAGAGCCTCATAATGTTTATCAGATCTGGCTCCCCCGTTCCTTCCTACGATTCTCTAATTAGCTCAAGCTTTTGCTATAATTAGTTGGGGGAACTGGAAAGATTAAAAATAAAAAACAACGCTGAGTCATTGATTAGCGCCTGAGATTTCAAAAAGGGCCCATCAAGCGTTCACTGGTGGGGCGAGGTTGAGATCCAGATCCAGATCCGGAACTTCCCGCCGCTTGCCGTTTTCCTTGCAATCTAAAACCACCGACGACGTCGAATCCGTCTCGCTCTGCTCCCCCTCGTCGCACCGGCTGTAGGTGTCGACGGCCAGGGGTGGGAGCTCTGGCTTCACAATTTTGTCAAAGAACCACACCGGAGACACAGCGCACTGCGGCGGAGGCGGCGGCGGCTGATTCACCTGGAAAACGAAAGGAAACCTGCCGACAAACCCAGCATCAGCGCCGCCGACAACAGGAGGAGGAGGGAGAGGGCGGAAGAAATCCAACTGGCGCGGCACCACAGGTGGCCCGGACGATTCGACGGTGCTGCTCTGGCTGGGGCTCTGCCTGTTCTCCAGGCCATCAACCGCCTTGGGAGCCGGGATATCGTTGGGGATGGGGAAGTTGGTCTTGGCCTTGCAGCCGCGGAAGTCGAGCGCCGCCTTGTCGTACGCCCTAGCGGCTTCCTCCGCCGTATCGAAGGTTCCCAGCCAAACACGAGTCTTCTTCCCCGGATCCCGAATCTCGGCGGCGTAACGCCCCCACGGCCTCTTCCTAACTCCCCTGTAATGCATCTCTTTCCTCCCGCCGTCGTTGTTCTTGATTTGGGCGGGATAGAGCTTCTTCTCCTTGGAAGGCGCCATTGACGGCTTCTTCTTTCTCTCTTTTTCAGTTTCCGCAGTACGGAAGAGGATCGAAGGATTTGGTGGCTGATAATGATATTAACAATAATGGAGGATTGAGGAGGAAGCGGACCAAGCGGTGGTTGTGGTGCTTTCGAGGGCTTCTTTTTTGCTTTATATAAGCGAGAGCGGGGAAGGAAGGGAGCGGTCAAATATAGGTTCGAGACCAAGGAGGTGCCGCCGCCCCTATTATAAAGAAGAAAGAAAAAAAAAAAAGGAGGCCGCCCACAGGGGCAAAAGCGGGAAAGCAAAAAGCAACCGAGCGAGCATGGAAAAAGGAGACAAAAACGATAATGTTGTCCGGGTTACGTGCCATGCGGTGGTTCCGAGACAAGCGGTTTTCGTTCCCGCTTGCCGCCTCTAGCCTACGCTCCTACCCGAAACTATTATCCATGACTTCTTTTTATTTTTTTCTTTAGTGCTACCTAGACCCTATTTATCTGGATTTTTTTCTCTAAAATATACCTGTTTTTAAAAGAAATTTTCAAAATATACCTGTTTTACGAAAAATTTCCAAAATACACATGATTGACGGTCGCGGTGAATACCTTACGTAACACTGAAACTTCAAATGAACGTAACTTTGCACTCGTTTATCCAATTGTAGCGAATTTTGTTTTTTATTTCGTATAACTTTTCAAGATCTTTCAATCTGCAACAAACATTCATCCAAAAAAAATATCGTTTGCTGAAAATTCAAATGAACGTAACTTTGCACTCGTTTATTCAATTGTAGCGAATTTTTTTTTTATTTCGTATAACTTTTCAAGATCTTTCAATCTGCAACAAACATTCATCCAAAAAAATATATATCGTTTGATATCTCGAACAAGCAATTTTTTATTTTTCCAAACTTCGGAAGTCTATAACTTTTTTCTCATCAATCCGAACATCATAAAGTTTTTTTTTTATTGCGCTCATCTTTTTAAGAACTACAACTTTTACTAGGGCATAATTTTTTTAAAAAGAAATATTTTTTGGTATACGGGATTTTGAGATTAACTTTGCCTTTACTTTTCACAAATCCACGTACATTCCAAAATTATAGTTATGATAAAAGTGTAGTCCTTCAAAAGTTATGAGAAATAAAAAAAAGTTTCATGACATTCGGATTGCGGAGCACAAAGTTATGGTCTTCCAAAGTTTGTCGAAATCAAAAAATTGCTCGTTCAGGGCAGCAAACGATATTTTTTTGGATGAAGTCTGTTGTATATGGAAAGATCTTGAAAATTATGTGGAATAAAAAAATTTCACTACAATTGGATAACCGAGCACAAAGTTATGTTCGTTTAAAGTTTCAGTGTTAGGTCATGCATTCACCACGACCGTCAACCGCGGTGACGCATTCACCGCTTTCGTCTGCCGCGGTGAATGCGACGACCGCAGTGATGCACAAACATGTGTATTTTGGGAATTATTCATATAACATGTGTATTTTCAGAATTTTTTTTAAAACATGTCTATTTTGGGATTTCTTCCATTTATCTGCAACTTAATATATTGAGATTTCCTTCCAAATTCATAGTGGATTGGTTACTAGTCATTTATTAAAAAAAATTAAATTTAACCAATTATCAATTATAAATTAATGTTTTAAAGAAATATCATATTAGTCGTGCTATTCAAAATGAGCCACTTTGTTATATTTAGGTACAAAAGTAATTGAAACATATATTAGCTGAGTATACCATGGTAGTTAGGGATGAGAAAATTGTTGCAACTTTTGTTAAATCGTAACCATACCGAATAGCGTGATTAAAGACTAACTATTAACCGAGTAAAAGGGGTTTCATATGGTCGTAGTTAGAAGAATTGGTCGTTTAGCAGTTAGTGGACTAACCGCAAACCTAACCGAATAAACAACTAACCACGGACAAATTCCGGGCCCAACCCACCTAGCGCTAGCATACACTCCACCCATTCTTGTCTTGTCGTCCCTCGAGTAGAACACACTCTAATTCCATCATTCCTCCTCCTCGACTAGTCGTCTACCAAGTAGAGTAGTTGATGTTCCACTTGCAACCTTCCTCCTCCTCCTCCACCCTTCATCTTTGTCAATTCGGTGACCGCTGCAGCTAACCAAAACTAACCACTAAGTGCAAAGGGTTACTCGATAATCATTTGTGATATGATCACGGTTGACGAATTTCTCCTTATTCTATTGTGGTTAATCGAAATCGCAACATTTTCACCCTAATAATGGTGGTATGAATATCATAGTGTAAAATGATTGAATACATGATACTACAAATATATATTATCACCATTCACACGTTTTGATCACCTTCTACCACTAGTTACGATCTTATGCCATGATGATATAAGGTGGTATTTGATTCATAAAATTTTTCCAAAAGTTTGTTGTACATTAAAAATTATGTACCATGATCTAACATTCGCCCTCGAAATGGAAAATAGAGGGTGGGGAAAACTGGGAGAAATGGAGGGATTCAGAATTTTTTCCATGTTCATAAATTTTGCTATAGTACAGGGAGTGATTTTTCTGAGGGAAAAAACTGGAAAAAACTTATGAAGTAGTTGCCCCCAATTTGGAGTGATAACGATTGGGATTTTTACAGAAATAACACCTTATAAAAAAATTACAAAAATAGCATCCAGTCGAAAATATTTACAAAAATAGCACCCTTTTTTATGGACCGCACCTGGAGGGTGCGTTTTACATATAAACCGCATCTCTAAGGTGCGGTTTATTATCCTGGGCCAAAACCACATCTTGGTCAAGCGGTTTCAGGTCTGACCTATAAAAACCGCTTGGCCGAGGTGCGGTTTTGGGCTGACCTAGCAAAACCGCACCTTGGAGATGCGGTTTGTTTCTCCAAGGTGCGGTTTTGGGCTGACCTAGCAAAACCGAACCTTGGAGATGCCGTTTGTTTCTCCAAAACAAAACAGCATCCCCAAGGTGCGGTTTTGCCACACAAACAGCACCCCCAAGTGCGGTTTGTGTGTCAATTATTTTCCGACACCAAACAAGCAGCCATGCAGATTCACAGACGTGGGGCTGCATGGCAGATGAAAAACGCACCTCTAAAGTGCGGTTTTCATTGATGATTTTGCCTAAAAAAGGCAGTCGGGAAATCTTATTCTCTTCACACCTCTCCTTCTCCCTTTTCAATTTTCTATTGTAGTTCCATATTTCTCTAGTGTTTTTGCGGTTAACGTTAACTCGTAAGTTTTTTTTTGTATTACTTTTTATTGTGAATTGTGATTTGTAATTTTTATGATATTAGTTGAACTACTGTTTTTTTTTTTTTTTTGCAGATGGCATTTCAAAAGTTCACGCTTGGGTTACGGTGGAATGGTTACACGGAAGAGAGGGGAAAGGGGGTCACCTACGTCGGTGGCAATTTTCAGAAAATAAAAGTCCCTACTAGACCGATGGTTGAAGACCTCTATCAAATGTGTACTAACGTTACTTGCATGGATGGCACGAGAAGAGTTGATCGTATGGTGTACCGATATCCAAACAGAGAAGGTGGGTCGTTGTGGCACGAGGAATATCTCATAACCACTCAGGATGAGGTAAATGCCATGCTCGAATTCTTGAGGTCCAACAAACTTTCCAAAGCCGAGATGTTCGTTTACACCGAGCCGGTCGTAGGTGTTGGAAGTCATTCTGGAGACGGTCAAACATCTGGTATCCATGGTGGAGGTGAATTATATGGAGATCATCCCTACCAAAGTTACCATGATCCTCATTCCTATTTTCAATACCAAGAGCAAGGTGAAGGTCATCATCAATCTTACCCGTCATATGAAGAAGAAGTTCAACCGGACCATGCCAACCAATCCCAGTACAACTTCCAATCAGGCAGTGGTAGTTTTCACAACTACCATTATGGACCTGATGAAGGTGCCTTTCATGAGCTGGATCAGATGGAAGATGCCCTGCCAGCACCAGTCAGTGACCCCTCCGATGAAGAAGGAGAGAACAATGTCAGTGCAGACAGCTTCGACCCTCTTGAAGGTGCTGATGATGACCAGAGTCAGACTCAGATAATGATGATGAGGTGGCTCATGACCGTGTACCAGTCTCCTACTACAATCACAATCCACACTGCAATTGGATGGTCGACAGCGACATGGAACCGCCGGAGGTTCCAATATGGGGTCCACTCAAAATACATCTCAAGGAAGTCCACGAGCTTCACCGGAACCGACAGTTTTCTTGCTCCTTGTACAACGGCCGACGGGAGTAACAACAGGTGGTTGCGGTGGCAAGTTTCGAATGGCCGAGGTAGTGTGACGCTCGTCGGTGCTGTGTCGGCGGGGAGGCGGCGCTTCCGGGGTCGAGCGGGGTACATCCGCGCTCATACGGTGAGGAGTAGGAGGCCACGGCTGATGAGGGCGAGTCAATGGGTTGAATTCGTGGGGCGCCGTCGTGGAGGAACCATCATGCCAAGTACCCGATGATGTAGGGGGATCTTAGAGGTAGACCGGGCGGGAATCGTAGTATGTTTGGCGGGGATATGGGGCGTAGACAGGGCGGGAATCGTAGTATGTTTGGCGGGGAGATGGGGGGTAGACCGGGCGGGAATCGTATGATGGTTGGCGGGGATCGTTGTATGAGATCGGGTTGGGATCATATGGGGATTGATGGAGACTCGGAGGGGAATGATGGTAGGTCGAGCGGGGATCGTAGTATGAGCTTGGGTGGGGATCCTTGTGGTAAGAGGGGCGGTGCCCTTGGGATGAACTCGTGTGGGGATCTTGGACGGAACTCGGGCGGGGAGCTTGGGAGGAACTCGGGCCGACACCTTGGGGGGAACTCGGGCGGGGAGCTTGAGAGGAACTCAGGGCGGCACCATGTGTCACAACCAATGGGAGCGTCACTTTCCACGCCTGATATGGCGTTACGTCGGGCACGTTTGGCCTTTCCCGAACCCTCTTGCTCTTCTTTCTCTTGTATGGTGGTGGGGGATCGGGGACATCAACTTGTACCGGAGGTGGTGGGGGTGCGGGCATGGGCGGATATCTACGATGATCCCGACCTTGAGCTATGATACAGCCAAGCAGACTGTTTGCCATCCTCCTGATGAAGCTCACATCTTCATTGCCCAGCTCAACTCTCCTGGTGGTCATATCTTTGATCCGCTCGATCCCATCAGCCCAAATCACAAAAAAAAAGTTAGAAAAAATTTAGGCGCCAAGTAATAAATTTAATTGTTTAGACGAAATATACTTACTAATGCACCATCGGCCGCACCCTCCGGAGTCATGTACCGAACCGATGTTTGCCGATATCGAACCAAGTATGGGTCATGATACCCCATTCGACCCACTTGAGTTGGAGTGACAATATCCTGCATTTATAGTTATCAGACCGCACCCTTCAGGGGCGGTCTGGTAATTTTACCCCCAGCGAAACTGCTCCATTACGATGCGGTCTGCTTTCCCGAGGCGTTGACCGCATCCTGCAAGTGCGGTCTGAGACTCCACTACGCGGATTGCTGAGGTGGCCAGCGGTCCCCCCTTGGATAGCAGCCCCATCCGACGGTCTCCAACCCCGCTGCCCAGAAAACACAAACCGCACTTGGATGATGCGGTGCGTTTGCTGACGTGGATTGGACCGCACCTCTAAGGTGCGGTTTATAAGTAAAACGCACCTTAGAGGTGCGGTCTATTAAAAATGGTGCTATTAGTGTAATTTTTTTCGCCTGGGTGCTAGTTTTGTATTTTTTTTAAATGTGCTATTATTGGAAAAATCCCATAACAATTGGTGTCTCTTATTGAGCTTTTTTTCACTTCCTTTTCCCTTCAAAACTGAACACCTATTTTTTCCTTATTATTTCACTACCTTCAAATTTTCACTCCCTTCAAATTTTTCTTCACCTTCCCATTTCCCCCTCTTTCGTAAACGAAGTGTCTGAGATTCAATTTATTCCATAAACTCATGTAATCTTTGGCTTACCATTATCCAAAAATCCGTAAGAGATCTTACATGAAAAACTTGAATTTAGGATAAAACAAATCTATCTAACCCGAGTCATCTTCGTCTCTCCAATGTGCATAAGAGTTTGCTAAATCAATGCTTGTAGCTATTCGATATCAATCAATTCGAGCGATCTCTTAAATTGTCAAACTTCATCGTTTTATTCATAAACCAAATCTTCCTTGCACTTGTCTTCCATAGGTGATTGAGTTTCTTTGTTGTTATATGAGGAGGACTCGATCTCTGCATGAACCAAATGTTTGTACGGATTCAACAAAAATCATCATTGATGGATTCGGTTCCTTATGTTGTTTCGGTCGATCTTATAAGTTGCAGAACTTCAATGATTTTCGTAGAAAGCGAATTTCATACAGTTTATTGCGATCACACCGATAAATCAACTTATTCTCCCGTTGTTGAAAACAAAATTGAGTTTGCAATATGATTTTATGGTTTTGTATGCAAATTTTAGAGAAAATTGGGAGAATTTAAAGGGAAATCCCAAAGAAAAATAGAGAAAGCTGTGAGATGTACATTTTGAACGCGAGTGTACATTTTGAATTTATTATAATATATTATTATACTTTTCTTCTTGTACCCATTTTACCTCTAGCTACTTTTGAACCATTGGATGAATTTATTCTCCGACACTCCTTAATTTTGTCAAACAACAAAAATTTGTATGTTTTGTTATGTTGACGATGGTGAGCCCCAAACGACAGGGCTAGCTAACATGGCAAGTGTATTTGATATGTTGTCAAAACAAACAGAACCCAATGATAATCGAATCCAAAATAGCTGACTGATCTCGAACCGAAGATCACTTTGGTTCGGCCTGTCTGAACCAGTTTAAATTAAGTTTCAGTCCGGGTTTGACCGCACAACCAATTTACATGTAGGGATCCCCATCAATGCTAACCATGGTTGTCATGCCAGTAGTATGCCGGCCGGTTGTCCTAGGTTCAACCGGTACCAATCATAAACCCAGCTGGAATACCACTGGCATGACTCTATGGTCAATACCGGTCAATACCAGTCAATTTCCGGTAATCCAGTGGTTCAACTGGAATATTAATTTCCGGTTTTTGCTTGATACAGCGTCGTTTAGCTAAGATTGATAAACATAAATTGTCAGGTCTATTTCGCAATCACAAGTCGCGACTCAATCGCCTCTTTCATTTGTTCCTTCCCGAATTCCTCTGTCTTTTGGACCCTAAATCGGCAACGAATCCTGAAATCGGTCGGCAACAGATCGGCGGCGCGAAGCTCGGCAGGTGCGAGTCGACGAGGTCGGTGACTACCTGTTCTTCCAACGTGGCAGCGAAGATGAGTCAGGCGGCCAGATCGAGAAGTGGAGAGAGGAGGGAGAAATTGCGAGTCATCCCCTCGTATGTATTTCGTCAAAGAACGGAGAATAGAAGGGCAATTCCAGTGGGAGGAGGGGAGGCAAGAAGGGTGCTCTGAGTGTTTTGAGTTTGAGGCGGCAGAAGAAAAGAAACGAGAAGGAGAGGAATAAGGTTAGTTGAGAAGAAGGTATGATTTGGGCTTTTGGATGATAGGTTGGATTGGATCTATGCTTCTCTATTTTATTTCTTCTTCTCATTTTTTTTTCTAATTTATTTGTTTGTATATTTTTATTTTTCATACTTAATTATTTAAATTGGCATAAAACGGTACATATCGGTTGTTGTACCGCGGTCGCAGCATTTTGCATACAAAACCGGCGTACCGACATAAATCGGTTTGACAACCTTGATGTTAACATAAGCAATTGTTATTGTGTTGTCATGATTGTCAAATCAGTGGAATGCCGACTAGTACAATTGGGTTTAACCAGTATCGTTCAAAAAACTAGCTAGAATGCCCCTGACATGATATTCAATCATTCAAATATAAACGTGTGGATGTTGGTGTTAAATGTTGTATTTAAATATGAGGTATTTTCATTTTGTTTGTAATGTTGTATTTTTTTTTTGTAATGTTTGTATTATATTTAAACATGAATGTAGATTTTAGAGAGGTTATCTTCAACTATATATATGTCAAAATGAATTTAGTGTCGATTTCCAATTCCTTACATATTTTACTAAAACTGACATGATATTGACACTACCAGCTGAACCATACTACTTGTCAAACCGACGTAAGTAGAATATGATGAGGGAGTTGGTAGCGATTGAAGTCGAGGAAGACAAGAGAAGAATATTGGTCTCTGTTGGTGGAGGAATCGATCGATTGATAGAAAGATGCGGCAAGAGATGAGTGGAAGGTGGAGTGAACGACGATTGGAGAGAGGGAACCACCGAGATACAAGATGAGAAGAAGAGTCGGAGTTTGATGAAAATTTGTAGATGAGCTATCCTAGGGAGACATGAGAAGACGAAGACATGAGAAGAGATGGGGGTTTTCGATATATCGACGAAACCAAACGAACTGGTTTTATTCCGTTTCGGACAACATCTAACCAAAAAAAAAGTTTGATTAGACTCGAAAACACGGACACATATGTAGATTAGATTTGAACGGATCGATAGATGCTCACCCTTGTCCAAGCCGCCAATAGCTATTGGGCTAGCCTCAAAATCCAATAGCCTCCAAGCCTAGGGATGTCAACAAAACCCGAACCCACGGGTACCCACCCGACCCAACCCGGTCAATGCCGTGTTGACGGGTTTTGGGCCGGGTTCGGGTTTAAACCCGCTATACAATTTACGGGTCGGGTTTAGGTAAACCTGCCCCATGGGTACCCGCCCACACATATATAATTACTTTCCTAGTTTCCCGGTATATTTAATATTCTAAATAATATATCTTTCTTAAATAACTAATATTCTTTATGTTTTGTGGAGACACTATAATTTGTTCTTTCTAATTGTTTAGAATGAAGTTGATATTATGAAGTGGATAGTGAAGAAACTTAGTTGACGAGGAAGAAGCTTTCAATTAATTTTATTGTTTATAGATGTTTATCTTTAATTTTGAACATTTTGTATTGATCATTTGCGGTTTGCTTGTATGCTCTAGATTGGTGTTTTTTGTATGATTAATTTGTATGAGAAAATTGATGTTAAACTTTTATTTTGAAAGAAACTTGTTATTGTAAATTTTTTTTTGGTTCGATGTTGGATAGTGAGAAAACCATGCCCACCCATTACCCGCAATATTCGGGTTTGGGTTTTACCCGTACCCACTAAAAGTCTTTCGGGTTTGGATTTTACCCTACCCGATTAGGTCGGATTCGGGCGGATATCCACGGTTACGAATATTTTTGCCATCCATAATTTGATCTGATCCAAATGTCAGTTTGATCCATTTTTTCATTATGTATAAATTTTATGGGATCAAGTACCAAACCATATTATCTCCAGTTCGATGTGGTTCGGTCGAAACATTATTTTGGTTTTATATCATTCGCTACGAACCAACCCATTGCACACCCCTAATTGGTTCTGCGGTTCGAAACAATTCGAACTAATTATCTAACATGATCAACAAATGATCGAATTCCAAACTGAATATCGTATCAGTTCGGTTTTGATCTATTTGGTGCCCGTTTGGCTTGGTTCGATTTTACGGAACCGAGTGGCCACCGCTGGTACGTACGGTCCAATCTAACAACCTGAACTTGCGTGCTCCCACAAGTCAACAGTCAACACGGCTCTGGCATCTATTTCACAAAGCTCCCAAAATCCCACCACCGTCTCTCCCCTCCTTCCTTCCTTCCTCTTCTTTTCCTTCCTTCTTCCAATCAAAACCTAACGAAGGGCAAGAAAGTGGAAAACAGGAATCACCGGGAAAATTCTGCCTCAAAGTTACGATCCGATCCCTTATTTTTTCAGCCGGAGGTAAAAAATTCAGACATTTCGTGTACAATGGAATTCGAGCTCTTGCGTTCCACCGCTGCGTAGCTTCCTCCTTCGAAATCTTCTCTGGCTGGTGATGGTGATAGGCATTGGTGGTGGCGGAGGAGGACTGCAGATTGATTGCCCGCGAATAGCGACTTAGAAGATTCAATAAAAACGGCAATGAAGCGATATGTTTATATCAACGACGATGAATCCCCGACGCAGGATCTCTATTGCGACAACCGCATTTCTAACCGGAAGTACACTGTCTGGAACTTTCTCCCTAAGAATTTATGGGAGCAATTCAGGTCCAATTTTCTTCTCATTCTCTGGTTTCCTCAATTCTCGTGCAATTCAGAGGCATCGTCGCTTTGTGTAGTCGCCGGCGATTGAATTGGTTCCCCTAAAATTCTTTCTCCCTGTAGTTGTGGCGGTGGTATGATCCTGCTTGCTGAGATTGGTAGCTTTTTTTCTTTGTAGGATTGGATAGGCAAGAATGAGGTGTTTAAAGTTATGTGCTCGCTGTGTGCAAGATTAATTCGTAGCATTTCGTATCCCTTTCCTTCGTGTAATGTTGTTGTTTCTTCTTTTGTTTCAGCCGGTTCATGAACCAGTACTTCTTGTTGATTGCTTGCCTTCAGCTATGGTCACTAATTACTCCAGTAAACCCTGCCAGCACATGGGGTCCGCTAATTTTTATTTTTGCTGTCTCTGCATCAAAGGAGGCTTGGGACGATTATAATAGATTCCTCTCTGATAAGAAAGCCAATGAGAAAGAAGTCTGGATCGTTAAGCACGGGCTAAAAAAACCTGTAAGTGTTTAGCTCCCTACATATTTTATTTTCCTACTAATCCCGAGTTCATCAATATTCAATGAAAGTTGTAGCATTGTTCTTGGTGCTTACTTGTTCTGATTTGGCTGACTTGTTTTCTGTCTCTTATCACAAGTATGAATCTTGGCCATATTAGCTACTTTAAGTTGAGCAGTTATTATAAAATTGTTACTCATATTAGAGGGACTGCTTCTGCTTCTGATCACGGGCTTCAAGTCCAGGTCCCCAGTTTGCACAATCTGTGAATAGGTTGTCGATGGAAGTTGTAACAAGTGACGCTGACACCTAAAAAATCAATACCTAATCAAGACTTTTTTGTTTCGTTGTGCCATTGAAGGCTTGCCCGAGGATGAGTTTGAGTATAGTGAATGCATATGATTTAGGATTATGGAATGCTGTTTGCTATAGGGTTTTCTAGGACCTAATCTATTGTTGTTGTGGGACGGCTAAATCATCTTGCTCGTTTGAGTACACTTATGACATCTTCAAATATTGTATCTACTTTGCAGAGCCGAGCACAGGACGTCCGTGTAGGTGATATTGTGTGGCTTCGGGAGAATGACGAAGTCCCATGTGATCTTGTTGTGCTTGGTACATCAGATCCTCAAGGCCTTTGCTACATTGAGGTAAGTACATCTTGCACTCATAGCATACTATTTCTATTGCAGTTATGTGCTGTTTTCCACGCAGCCAAGGTGTTTAGATGGCTCGTATAACTGTGCACGAGGCAAAGCAACTTGATAGGTGGTTTTGTTTGCAATAGGCTGTAGTATTTGCTTACAGTGAGTCTTTTCAGAGTAGGAAAGGCCATTTGGTCATGCTTCTGTCTAGGTTTAGTGACCCAATTCTGTTCCTTGTTAAGATTCATGAGTTCCTGGATCCTACTGCCTCAATTTTGAAGATGTGGAAGTGAACTTGCTCAATAACTCTTGTCACTTGTTTGATAGAATTCTGTTTCTGCATTAGTGCTCTGCCATTAGAACCAGCTACTTGAAGTATTAAGTTCTCACAACACAACTTATCCCGTAAGCGATATTTGCATGCTACAGAGGCATGTTTCAAATGAAACCAAAATATTCGTGTTCAATGCGTTGTATTGGGAGGTTGCTGCAACTCTAAAGAGTCAGAGCTTGGCTTTGCCAATACCTTACAGATGCCATATTTTGTTTCATGATTTCCTAAATGGTATTTCAAACAATACCTTAAGTAATTTCAAAGTCTCTTTCCCTTGTCAAACTCAGAGCACACTCTTCCTGATTCAGTTATATGAAACGTAGAGTTACCAAAGGTTCAAGCTTGTAGGTTGACAAGAGCATGTATGATGTCACTATAATTGGCAATTAGTCCTTACCATCCAGGGAGAATTTTTTTGAATTAGAACAAACTTGAATTAGTAGGAAAGTTCAGAAAGGCTTTCACTGAGATTGAATATAGGTGGAGAGCAACATTATGACCTATTTGCTCTTTCTGATTAGTTTTGGTTAGAGGTCAAATTGTGATACTTACACATTTCTTCTTCTTGAATATGTCAAGAATTTAAACCTGTGCTACCTTCCTGTCTTTGTTAACTTGGTGAGTTTACTAGTCTGATTGTCGCTTCCTTCTGGAACCTCCAGTTAAACATGTTAAATGTTTCCCTTTCATGAGTGAAGCAGTGGGATTAATATACAAACAGTTAAATATGTATGGTTGGAGACCAATGTATCATTGCTGTTAAATAGCCTTTTACTTTTTCCTGTAAATTTCAGGATCCTGATCAATGGTGATATAACATACTTTGCAGACTTCTGCTCTAGATGGCGAAACTGATCTAAAAACTAGAGGTATACCATCTGCTTGCACGGGAATTGATTCAGAGTTGCTCCACAAAATTAAGGCAAGTTTCCTGAGTCTTACATTTTGCAGGGATTTTCCTTTTAATTTCCTTTGATTATTGTAAGTTGATCGATCAGCTGTTATCCTCAGGGTGTTATCGAGTGCCCCAATCCAGATAAGGACATTAGGAGATTTGATGCAAATTTACGTCTGTTCCCTCCCTTTATTGATAATGATGTCTGTCCATTGACAATAAAGAATACGGTTCTCCAGTCGTGCTACTTGCGGAACACAGAGTGGGCTTGTGGGGTAGCTGTTTATACGGGTAAGTTTCTAGCTCTAGTATTATGTCTATTCAGACTTGCATGAGATATGTATATTTCCACTTGATGATTTGTGTTTTGAGCAGGAGAGTGAGTACCTTATTTAACTTACCCCTTTTTCTTTCTCGAGAAAATATTTGTTTGGTACTGTTAGTGTCTCCATGACCTGTGCCTTTGCTATTGATATAAGTTGAGCAATTATTCAATGATGATGTTCTCTATATGTTTCTTTTCAGGAAATGAAACCAAGCTGGGTATGAGCAGGGGTATACCTGAACCTAAACTTACAGCTATGGATGCCATGATTGACAAATTGACTGGCGCAATATTTGTCTTTCAGATAGTAGTAGTTGTAGTTCTAGGCATTGCAGGGAATGTATGGAAGGACACAGAAGCAAGAAAGGTTTGTCAGGGTCCTTGAATTGTTTCATCTTTTTTTATTATTATTATATAATGTTGAATTGTTTCATCTTGATAATCATTTGGTTAAGCATCCTTGAACCTGGGCCACTTACTCCGTGACAAGGCAGTTCTCATCTGAATTCCCTTTATAAAGTGAAATGCCTAGTATCTCGGTGTTGAATGAGCAGTACTGCATTAACCATTTGTTGCTTGATGCTCTCTTCCCCATCACTCCTAGACTTTATGAAGTGAAATGCCTAGTATCTTTTCATGAGTAGCCTCATATACCGTCATCACTTCCAGACTTTGTGATTAATTATGCGGACGCTTATCTTCGTGTTGAATGAGCAGTAGTGCATTAACCATTTGTTGCTTGATGCTCTCTTCCCATTTATCACTTTGGATCTGGAATTGTAACATTTGCTTAAAATAGAAACTGTAGTTTCTTGAGGATGAAGAAGGCAACTTCATGTTTTGTTCCCAATTCTCTTTTGATGATGGATACTTCCATATTTTATTCTTATTTGAAATGGTGGTGAATGCTGGAACCATTTAGGTCTGAAACAAATGAGGGTGACCATTGTCTCTGGAATTTCATTGCAACCTTTCCTTTTAAGTTTCTCATTTATGGACTACAATCAATCATATTATTTATTTATTTTGAGCCTTATATGTACGGCCGCTCTCCTCATATGTGTCATATTATTTCTCTCCAGACATCTTAAGGCATTTGGAATTCTGCATTGCACTGGTTATTAGTCGTATCTCTTTCATATGAATATCTCAACATATCATCGGAAGTCTTTTTTCTTTGTATGTTTCAATCTAAGTGTAATATGCTTTGGTAGTTTGTTTCCCTCTTATATTTTGCTTCACGTGTTGATTTAGGGCATGCTCATTTTAGTTAGTTTTATTTATTGGCAGCAATGGTATGTCCAGTATCCCAAAGAAGGACCGTGGTACGAACTACTGGTTATTCCTCTAAGATTTGAGCTCCTTTGTTCAATAATGATCCCGATATCCATTAAGGTAAATGTATTTTATGTGCAGAAAAATCAATGGCTAGTTGCTAGAATTTCTCTGGCTGGTTATGTTGCTTTAGGGGTTCCTTTAAGGAAAAGCAGGCTAATATGGGGGTCAATAATTTTGTATGGGCTACTATAATGATAAATTAAAACACTGCTGCACTCGTCATGGAGGGAAAATCCTGCAATAGCAATCTTATTAGTTTGCAAACACCTGGAGTCCACCTAGATTAAATCTTATATTGTCTGAAGAGAGATCCTTCATTGCATTGTGTTCCTTTTGTACAAATACTTCATGCACAATTCCCCGCAACTTAGGCACATTGTCCACGATTCGTAGGAGTGCCAGTATTAGTTAGCCGAATGCATTTTTGTAAGTGACTGTTGGCCCCAAGATCTCAACCTAAGGTCTGTTGCATAGTTTAGTTCCTTCAATCATCAACTGAAAAATCTTTATCCTTACTATTGACTGCTACTACGGTTGAATCTATTGTGTGTTGCACAGTATTAGTTATCTGTTAAGCATTTGGCCTGATTGTGTTTTATGTTTGAATCCATAGTTTACGTTTCGGTATTATTACTTTTTGGTTGAATCCTTTTCGATTAATGCATGAAATTATATTGAAAAATGCATGAAATCTGGATTTTTTCAGGTATCTTTGGATCTTGTGAAGAGTTTATATGCTAAGTTCATTGATTGGGATATTGAGATGTTTGATCAAGAGACAGGCTCTTCATCTCATGCAACAAAGTAAGAGACTGGCTAATGTATCTAAATGGATGTTAGGGTAAATTAGTTCAATTCATGTTGAGGAGAGTTCACTGTTTGAATGTGGCAGCACAGCGATAAGTGAAGACCTGGGACAAGTCGAGTACATTATGACTGATAAAACTGGAACCTTGACTGAAAACAAGATGGTCTTCAGGAGGTGTTGTATCAGTGGCACATTTTATGGTAACGAAAGCGGGGATGCCTTAAAAGGTATGCCATTTTTCTGTCACTTGTGGGAAAGTATCAACATTTTCCCAGAGACTATTTTATACATTTGTTTTCATTGCTTGTTGCATATAAACGAACTTTTACCTGCTTTTGACTTCAAGAGTACTTAGTTTTGATTATATGGCTTGCTCTTTCCTTTAGACATGCAGCAGGCTTTGGTCATTTATTTGAATTTCTTCATATAGACATATGAAATAGTAAATCATCATTAGAGATTTAGAGTCCTTGCGTTGTTGTTCAAAAATTGAAATAACCTGTTTCAAAATAAAAAATTATCTCGTCTCAGTTCGACCACCTCTGGGTTTTATTATATCAGCTTTGAATCATACTGATTTATATCTTGTTCTTCTTTCTATGAGTTTGGTAGGTCCTTATGTTTTTTAAGAAGGTATTCTGTTGCAGAATAATAACCAATCGCAAAAGAGAATTCTGAAACCGTTACTCGTCAGTGTTGCAAGTTCTTACTGTCAACTGCTAACTGAATTAGGTAGTATAGATGTTGTATATCGCCGAGAAATACATGACTAACTGAGTGAACAAAAGCTATTCTACGAAGAAGGGACTGTGATCCCACACTGTAAGAATGTCTGATCAGCTGAGCTGTTAAGCAAAATATCCCGGCCCACATCATTTGTGTTTTTCGTCTGATTTTACTCTGTTCCCGAACCATTTCTTTTCAACAAAATGGGCACGTTGCCTTAATGACAGTTTTGGCTTGCAAACAGATGTTAGATTGCAAAATGCGGTTGCCAGCGGATCTCCTGATGTCATTCGGTTTTTGACAGTCATGGCAATATGTAATACTGTTATACCTGTGCAAAGGTGACTGCAATCAAGGATTCCCTCTCTCTATTTTCCAATGTCTTCTGACTTTGTCCTGTTTGAAAGATGCATTTTCGTGCAGAATGCCTTTTGTCATTCTCCTGACTAGGTTTATGTTGGTTCTGTTGCCTGTAGTAAAAATGGAAATGTTCTTTATAAAGCACAGTCACAGGATGAAGAAGCTCTTGTTCAGGCTGCAGCAAAGCTGCATATGGTCTTATTCAGCAAAAGTGGGAATCTTCTTGGTAAGGTTCTTTTGCCCCAGTGTTATGATTATCGTAGTACTGCCATAACTGAGGTTGATTTGAATGTTCTGCAGAAATCAGATTCAATGCTTCAGCAATTAAGTACGAAGTTTTGGATATTCTGGAGTTCACTTCTGACAGGAAAAGAATGTCAGTAGTAGTAAGAGACACTCGGGATGACAAGATTTTTCTCTTGTCCAAAGGAGCAGATGAAGCTATACTTCCTTGTGCTTCTGCTGGTAAAATCTTGAAGGACATGACTATTTATTTCCTTAAATGATTGCTGCACAAAAGTTTACAATTTCTTTGACTTATCTTTTATTGAAAATTGAGTTTCAACTCTTGAGTGGCTTGAAAATATGCTCACTGGATTCATAAAGTAATTGTTAACTATGGATGTTCTAATTTGACACTCCCAATCAACAAATTAAAGTTGTGAACAATGGTATAGGTACCATCAGACAGAAAATGCACCAAAGAGTGTGTGTGTGTGTGTTGTTGGGGGGTGGGGGGATACTCCAAAAATATGATATATGTTAAACTTGTGTCGTTGCTTCACTTTCTTCCACTCTTTGATAATGTTACTATTATTTAGGACAACAAACGAGGACACTAAATGAGGCTGCGGATCAATATGCTCAGCTGGGCCTGCGTACATTATGCTTGGCATGGCGTGAACTCAAAGAAGACGAATATCAGGAGTGGTCATTGATGTTCAGAGAGGCCAGTAGCACACTGGTTGATAGGGAGGTAAAGAGTAGATCTCAGTTCTGTGCCTGTTTCAACTTCATGCTTGTCAAGATGTTAGCTGGGCTTGGCGATTGGCTCACCTTCTTTATGACGTTGCTATTGGCTGCAGTGGAGAATAGCTGAGGTGTGTCAAAGGTTGGAACATGATCTTGAGGTTCTTGGAGTTACGGCGATAGAGGATCGTCTTCAGGTGAGTGTTCAAGTGGTTGAGCCTTGAAGGAACTCGTCCCCCAATTCCTAGACTATAGATTTGTACATGTTGCTTCAAATATCTATTAACTATTTTGTAGGACGGTGTACCAGAAACAATTGAGATGCTTCGAAGAGCCGGAATAAATTTTTGGATGCTAACTGGAGACAAGCAGAATACGGCAATACAAATTGCTCTTTCTTGCAACTTTATATCACCAGGTACAGTGAAAATCCCTCTGTTCTGAAAGTGCCGGTTGTTTCTGTTCTTCTGATCCAGATTGTGTAAAACTCTTAAAGTTAGTTGCATTTGCGGATTGCACAAACTAATTCAACATATGCTTTATCTGTAAGTTAATTCTGTTCCTTGCCAGGCCTCGTGTAATGTGTGAAGTCTATTGTAGCTGGTGTGCACCCTGAGTACTAAATCACTTTTCTTTTATCAAGTTCATCCACCACCTAAACTGACTTGTCAGACAGCATTTTGAAAAAATTAACTAGTATTGGAAATTGAACTTGTATATATGCACCTGTCAAGATATATTAAGCATATGCTTCACAATTAGAATACAAATCTGTTCATTTATTCATGCAGCTTAGGTATAAATATGCTAAAGCATTCCGTATAATCCCCCCACCCCACTTTTCACTTGTAAATCTTGTGATCCTAAGCTTATTTCAACCAATTGTCAGAACCCAAAGGCCAGCTTCTGTTGATTGATGGCAAGACTGAAGATGAAGTTTGTAGAAGCTTAGAGAGAGTGTTGCTTACTATGAGAATAACGTCATCAGAGCCAAAGGTACAGAAAACGAACTTTACCATCACAAACGAGATAAAGTCATATTGGTCCTCCTCCTCGACAATTCCTATACTGTTAATTGAAAGATAAACTTGATTTATTTTTACTTAAACTACAGCATATAATTTTGTCTGTGTTCTACAATTTCCTTCCATGTACTTGCTATTATGATGGTTAGATTGATGGGTAGAGTGGGCAAGAATATAAAATAACAAGTAGTTATATTAAGTGGTTCTGTACCGTTGACATGATAGAAATGAATTATTTGCTTTAAGGAAAAGGAGAAGGATATAAATAAGTAATTATTGTGGTCTCCTGTTTTGCTTCTTCACACGATCTTATCTTTAGTCTCTGTCTAATGGTTCAAATTCTTGTACTATTCCTTATTCATTGGACAGTCCCTTAGCGACTAAGATACCAAGAAGTAGGTGCCTATCTAGTGTTATTATGATTAATATATGCAAGGATTAATCAGGCTCCTTGGTTTTGAGTTAAAAACATTGTATCATAACTAACTGTTCTACTGGCGTTCTATTTCATTGTTTTAGGATGCCTTTTAATTGCACTGGTTGTTCGTGACAGGATGTAGCATTTGTTGTCGATGGCTGGGCTCTTGAGATTGCTCTAAAAAATCATCGGAAAGATTTTACTGAGTTGGCAATTTTGTCAAGGACTGCTATTTGTTGCCGTGTGACCCCATCGCAAAAAGCACAGGTGCTTCATGGTGTTAAACCTCATGTTTAATACAATTAAGCTCTTTGTTTTGGATTGCCTAGTCGCTGTTATGTTCTTAAAATTTTCTATATCATTGAAATTTAGCGATCATATTGATTCAGCATGAAATGAAAGCTCGTCCCTATTTTAGAATGTTCAATGCATTAGATGCATGGACTGACAGTCCCAGGGGCAAAGAGGTGTTTAAGTTACGCTGTTTATAATTCACATCTAGAATGTTCCATTTTTAATTTTGATAATTTCGTGAATGTGGCTAGAATGTTTCTTGAGAGAAACATTTTTCTGCATTTTTAAGGAAAATTTCCCATTTTAATATAAGTCGGTTAAACAAATGGTAAATTTATGCTCTGTTCTTCATGTGAACTCTACTGGATGAAGTAACTTCTGGGTTCTACTAATCAGTGCATAAGATACACTGACACCATTCATATTGTACTACATTGCAGCTTGTGGAACTGTTGAAATCATGTGATTATAGAACACTGGCTATTGGTGATGGTGGAAATGATGTGAGGATGATACAACAAGCTGATATTGGTGTTGGCATAAGTGGAAGAGAAGGACTTCAGGCAGCTAGGGCAGCTGACTATAGCATCGGGAGTAAGTAACTCTACATTCTGCGTAGTTATGGTTTGGTTTGCAGTTGCTGACAGTTGGCATTAATTGTTCCCAAGAAAGCCTCTTTAAGTATGTTTCTGAAAAATCAATAACGCACACCTTTGCTTCATAGAACACTTAAAGTACAAAATAGATATACATATACTAATGCTACATATCCTTTTCCCCTTTTAACACATGCCACATGAGACAGTTGCACCATTCTTTTTGCTGCAATTAACTTCCTAAACATGATAAGTACTTACACAACATTGCAAAACATTTTCAGATGTTTTGACTTTCTAGCTTCTGCTCTTTGATTTGCAGAATTCAGGTTTTTGAAAAGGTTAATTCTTGTCCATGGGAGGTATTCATACAACCGCACAGCCTTCTTGTCCCAGTATTCATTCTACAAGTCGCTATTAATATGTTTCATCCAGATATTGTGAGTTTTCTTCTTCGTATCTTTTCTCCCTTGTTTTCTTTTTGCTTGATCTTTCCATGCTAACGAACACCGGAATGCAGTTTCTCTTTCATTTCAGGTGTTTCGGGGACCAGTCTTTTTAATTCTGTTAGCTTGATGGCCTATAACGTTTTCTACACTAGTATACCTGTTCTTGTCAGTGTCCTTGACAAAGATCTTAGTGAAAAAACCGTCATGCAGCATCCTCAAATTTTATTCTACTGCCAAGCAGGAAGGTAATTTCTGGGTCAATGACTGCTCTTAACCTTGCCTTTGTTTTGCCGTTTGCGGATCCACTATAATATATTAAAATCAGATTTCCCTGTTGTATAGCGGCATGTTATTATTTTGGTTCGATGATGACTCAAATATTCATTCTGTTGTGATCTGGCTTGATATAGGCTACTTAATCCTAGCACATTTGCTGGATGGTTTGGCCGGTCCCTTTTCCATGTGAGTGCTCTATTTTATTCGTCATCCATTCTGCTGAATGTTACACTTTTGGCAAATAGCTTCATTTTGTCTGAGATTGAAATGAAAATGCAGAATTTTATCTGAAAATAGACCCCTTTGCTCATCCATTGGTGTGTGAACTTGATTTCAGCTGTAATATTTACTTAAAACATGTCCCTATCCCCTCATACCTGCTCATAAAATGTCATGTTGCAGGCAATTGTTGTGTTCATAATCAGCATAAATGCATTTGCATATGAGAAAAGTGAAATGGAAGAGGTTGCAATGGTGGCACTGTCTGGATGCATATGGTTGCAGGCTTTCGTTGTAATAATAGAGACCAAGTAAGCTTCTATATGACTCCTTCCAACCAAATACACAATGCCATAGTTCTCTATACTTCTCTTTACCGTATTTAAATCTTGGATAGTAATAACAGATTTACAAGTTTGATTTAAAGATTCATTCTACATTTGTCCTTGAGTCGGAGGAAACCTACCAGCGTTTGGTTATCAGTTGAACAAAGAGAAGAGGGGATCCTCGTTCTGACGCAAATGCTTGAATCTTAAAACTTCCTCTGACTTGTGATTGGTGTTTACAGCTCCTTCACAGTATTACAACATCTTGCAATCTGGGGGAACTTGATTGGATTTTACATCATAAATTGGATCGTCAGTACCATTCCATCATCTGGGATGTACACAATTATGTTTCGGTTGTGTAGTCAACCATCTTACTGGATTACAATCTTTGTAAGTGCCGGCTGCCTTATCTTTTCTTATTCCTATTTTTATCCTTTGATCCTGTTATTAGCTTCAACCAAGGTATAACGCAAGTGAGTTCTAAGGAGGCTAACTGGTTTTGGTTTTCTGGTTGATATTAAATATTCTTTTAGCGGTTTCGAGTTTGTTATGGATTTTAGTTTTGGCTTAACGGGTTTTCAGTCGTAAACTAGAAACATAACTGGGTACTGTGATATAACCAAAAGCAGAAATTATAGGGAAAATTAACTTTCAGCAAACGCCACAAAAATCAAAACCTTGAAATCCAGTTATTATAGGTCAGTAAGTTTGAAATGGTTTTTGTTTTCCGGTTAACCATTAGGATTATCAGTATTAGTCCATTGACTGATGGTTTAGGTTGCTGGTTTTCGAGTATTAACTGCTAAACAGCTTTGCTTCTTCATTGTATGGTTTGTGCAACCTGACTGAACCAACCATCCACCCCTGCCCGAGTCAATAGGGGAAGAAAAGGCAACTAAAATACCAGATTGCTTGAACCCATGGACGTGATGAGAATGCTTACTGAAATGCTATGCTATTACTCTTGCTTTGTTATTGCAGCTAATAGTTGGAGCAGGGATGGGTCCAATACTTGCCATAAAATACTTCAGGTACACGTACACACCAAGTAAAATCAACACCCTCCAACAGGCTGAACGTCTTGGGGGACCAATACTCTCTTTGGGCAATATCGATCCACAGCAAAGATCGATGGAGAAAGAAGTGGCAGCACTGTCAATTACCCAACCCAAGGGCCGGAATTCGGTGTACGAGCCACTGCTGTCGGAATCCCCCAGTGGTACAAGGAGGTCATTTGGATCGGCAGCGCCATTTGAATTCTTTCAGTCACAAGCGTCCAGATTGTCATCGAGCTACTCTAGAAACTGCAAGGACAATTGATACTCTCTACTAATAAAAACTTGAGCAGCACGGCATTGGATGGATACATCTCTTGTAATTTCCGTTTGAATCCTTTTTAGGCTGTAAAGAAAGAAGCAATGTTTTAGATACGCTCCAAAGCTGATTCTTGGTAGGCGATTACAGTTGACCTTTTTTCTTTGCTGACACCATTGCAGTAAACCTGTTCTATTTTTTCCTTTTGTTTTCTGGGCAAGGAAGTGCTGACGTGCTGAGGCCACCGCAAAGTCCACAGGCAGTGACGAATCTGTAAATGCTTTGTGTTGACTTTAAAACATAACTTGTGACTGCAAACTATGTATTAACTTTTTAGACAATGTACCTGGTTTTGGACGTCATAGGCTAGATCTGAAGCCAATCAATGATGAGTATTTCTACAAACAATATTGTTATTTAGATGTCAGGGGAATAATCGTTCATCAATAAGTCATGAAAACAACAACTTTGATGATACTTAACGACATATGTAGAACATAATAGATAGACGAATTGGATTCGGAATGGAAACCCAGCCAATACAATGCATCCACTATTGGCCCCATGAACAGGTTGTCATTCAATCCAGCCTTGTTTTTGTTTGGCGAAAAGGTATGGGCATCTTTGTCCCCCCCAAAATATAGTGAAAAATGAGATGGAGATATGGAAACAAAGGAGGCAACAGGAAAAAGGAGGAGAAGGGAGGATGCATATTGCATAAGAAAGAGGGGCAGGAAGGAAGGGGGACCCCAAATATGAAAGGGTATGCCCCTCGCCATGCCACCATCCATCAAACAGATAGATAGAGTAGGAGAGGAGAGGAGTGTATAATAATGGGCATGGGCTGCTCCCTCACCCCCACACCATTTCTTGTGACCTTTGTGGCCCATCACATCATTCCCCCACCTAATCCCACTTTATGTTCCATTGGATTACTATATTCGGGATCTACATGAAAATTTTTCTATCGAAGTTTAGACGGTTTTCGCAGTATGAAACGATAGAGTCACAAATTCAACACAACATATTTATTACCTATGCAGTAAAAAAGGTGGTTCTTTGTAGAAGCGTTTTGGTGGCCTAGAAGCTCAAGAACGTAAGTTTTTTTTACGTTATAAACCGCATTCGAGCTTACATTATTGCACAAAATGCAGCCAAAATCGCGATTCTACTACGCAAAAGTGTTTTGGTGACCTAGAAACGTAAAAGTCTATGCATTTAAGTTTTAAAAAGCACGATTTTGGCTACAATCGCTATTCCTTTTTCGGTACAAACTCCAGTATGATGTTACAATTCTTACAAGAACAATGGGCGATGATCATAGTATATGCATTATATTTCAAGGATTAAAACTCGTAGTGTTCTGACGGTTGGACGAGAAAAACCTTCTACCAGATGCTAAATCGGTAGACGCTATACAACGATATAAAAGCAGTTGAGTCATGGTTAAACCACGATTACAATATAAAATAATCTATTGCTAATATTTTCGGTAGAATTTCCGATATGATTTTATAATCGTTTGTTATATTGGATCCCTCCAGCCTCCACCGAGCGAGCTACCAGAGAATCGCCTACAAAACACACAGCCTTAGTTATGGGTGGTGGTTGCTTTATTCCTCAGGGGCCCTGTCCTCCTGTCCCTCCCCTCACCATCATAGCTGTCTTTCAGATACCAGTTACCCTCCTAGGAAACAATATAATCTGCCTATGACTATGTAGATAACTAGATATGCTATCTGCATCATTTGGTTACACTTTTTTTCTTCTTTTTTTGCAATAATATTTTAACAATGATTATTATTTGAATTCCAAATTTAGCAAGAAATATATTGATAGGTTTGAAAATAATTTTTAATTTTACAATTCCAATAATTATATAGAAAAAATTTGAATATTCAAGGAATGCTAACAATGACGAGAGAGTGGAAGGAGATTGGATGATTCCAGGCTGGCTGGCTGGATAGGTTGCTGTTGCTGTTGCTGTTGCTGACTTGCTGGATGCTGGGATTGTTCTATATAGTGATACCGTACGTGTAGAGAATTCATGCACCAATTAATTCTCTACCAAAATTCGGATGGCCATAATTAGTTGGCATTTAAGGTCATCATTGTCTTACTTTAAGTTCTTGTATACTTTCCAAGTGCAAAGGCATGGTAGGAGGAGCTAAGGACAGAGTACAACCACATTAGTATCTATACAATAATATTCACTTTATTTTATATATTGAGGATAAACCAAAGAAATTAAAAACACATTTGTTGTCGTATTATCATGTCATGTCATGATCTTACTAATATGGTAAGACTGACAATACCATCTTACCACTATTACCACTATTATAAGATGTAAGAAGGCATGACAAATATTTGTTGAAAAATATAAAAAAAGGATGTCAACTTGTAGATCTACACTGTAATAAGACTTCATACTATCTCTGATGGATACCTGGATCTAGGGTGTCGGGAATTGGGTCATTGAATTGAGATTAGTTCGGGAGATGATGGATTCGGGGAGAGTTGATGATAGAATTAGGAATTTGGAGAAGAAACTTTAAGGAGAAGAAAAGGGAGGGGAAATGTTCTATTATTTCTGAATGGAAGTGGGGAGTGATAGAGGGAGAGGGTCGACTGATAAAGAGAGAGAGAAGGGGAGGGGGGAGGGGGGAGAAGGGGGGGGGGGTGTTTACAGAAATCCTGTAATTGTGATTAACCTTACTGGTCCAGTCCACAATTTAAAGAATAATAATTTGACTAATTTTCTTAAGCTATCCATAATTAACCCTTAATACTAAAATGTCAAATAACTCACAAAACCCCTATAATGAACCCAAATCTTCGAACAGTTCTAAAATATCGTGAAACATAAATCCAAATGCGAAAAGTGATGGAGACCCAGTATCCATCGTTCCCTCTCTCTTGAGAGCAACCTCGTCCTCAAGGTTGAGCTGACTCCTCCTGGTTTAACTTTCCTTCCTCATTAGCTAACTCATCGGTCTTATTCTCCCAGCTTCGAACGAGTAGCATCAGGTGAGCATTGATACACTGATGTTCCACCAAGTACCTCTCATTGTAGTGAAAGTAACGAAGGTCTTCGCACTTCTACTCCATCTCCATTGGAGTCAATCTCACAAACCCCTAGGCCATAAGCGAGGCCCTGGGCGATTCGCCACTAGAACTACTATGATAGGTGCTATCACCCGGTCCCCGGTGCAGTCACTGAGTCCGTCCCTCCACTTAACTGTTGTGCTCCTCCTCTATTTGATGTGCAAGTCTAAAAGTCACTCTTAGAGAGTCAGACCCAAATAACTTGAACACTGCAACCAACACTGGTTTCAACCCTGCCATGCACGAGACCACCAAAGTATCATCTTCCACACTCTTGCAAAGATTGCCCAACGTCAAGAACTAAGACTAGTACTTAAACAACCGTCCTAGTCTGCCTTAGATTGGCTAGATGCTTCGGCACCCAACCAACTGCTCTCTCAACCTAGAACCTAAGTTCCTCCTGAAATCTGGGCCACATGATTAGCATCTTGGCCTCTGCATACGATCGCTCCATCCATTCCCACCAATGGAGGGTATCTCCCTCCAAGTAGAAAGACATCAGGTGCCATTCCTCTCGTCCCGCGTGCATGGGATGGTTTTTAAACCACCTATAAGTTACATACAAGAATAACCCAACATCTTATTGACCATAAACTTGGATAACTCAATGGTCTGAGACTTGACCCTGAAGATAAGATCATATCGCCATCAAAAGTGGGATTGTATCCACCATACCTGCAAATATCGTGTCCACCACGGTATCCCTGCTCTCGATTCTATCGAGACAGATCTTGGAAGCCCAATTCCTCCTTGTTCCCATAATAGCTTCCTCCATTGGAGGAAAAGCTGAGACGAAAAGAAAGAGGGGGAAATGTTCAACTATGGCTGACCATAAATGAGGAGCGCGAGAGGGTCACCCGATTGTTAGAGAGGCAAGAGAGTAGTTTGAAAGGAAATTCTGTAATTCTGATGAAACTTACTGATTCAGTCCATAGTTTATAGAATATATAATCCGACTAATTTGCTTAAGGTACCCAAGAGTCGAGATTAGTCTATTTTAGGTTTACCCTACCCAATTTGGTCGGATTCGAGCAAGTATTAACGAGCATGGTATTTTTACCATCCCTAAAAGGATGTGCCCTCCTAACGCATTCGCCATCACACCTTGACACAGTTGAAAAATTACTACCTCAGAATCCCCTTTCACGATTACTAGAGTCAACCTTCAGGATGCAGCAATTGAGAGGGCTTCTAGAACATTAAGGATCATCTCCGAGAGAAACATGCTCGTCTGAGCCACGCATTACTAGGTCAGATGAACAACTAGAGTCATAAGCAACAACATCAAAATTGATATTCAGGATGTCATCAGGAGTGGCACCCAAAGAGCCAGGGATGCAGAAGGAGGGGAGGATATAAAACAAAGGGAAAGCACTAACAACTTCACGAATTTGATAAGGTAGTTGAGTAGTTAAAGAACATGTATATAGTTGAGTGTACTAAAAAACACTCTACAATAAGGAGAAAGTTCAAAGTTTTTAAGTGTGAGTACCCAAAGAGCATAAGGCTACGCCACCATAGACAAAAAATTATAGTAAGAACCCATACCAGGAACTCACTTGGACATATTGAGACAATAACTGGACACCAAGGGGAACCTAATCCACAAGTGTTCGATACTCTCTTGAAGTCTCTAATACATCAGACACCAAATCAAGAAGTCACCTCCTGCATTCAGGGAAACCACAATAGTTATCACCCATAGAAATTACCAAATAAAGAATTTCATTTTGGATGGATGTGGATTACCCAAGTTTTCTTCCATATCGGGGGTCATTTAGTGACTTACAAATATTTTCCTATGAGAGCACCAAAGCTAATTGGTAACCTATTTTAACCGAGCCCTATTGTTCTTAGTAAAGTGGCACACTCAGACATCTTTCTGAGGTAAGCTAGACCAGAGAATTGATCAGATAAGGGCCACTGATTGCGGCTCAAACAAATCTAGAAGCATAGGAAAATGCATTTCCCAAGGCCTGTCTTGATGGAAAAGAAAAACTTTGGCTGGAATATCAGGAGGATTTTGCAAGAAAGGGCTTCAAGGCGCACAAAGGGTACCCAATCCTTATAAAATGCATCTATATCGAGGTCGTCTCCTACTTGCCATTGCAAAACCCTCCAAAAGGAGGTCTCGTCCAAATATCAAGCCTACGTCATCCCTAAGAGGGGTTAGACTGTGTAAAAAAGTGGTTAAGTACCATTCATGGGCATCTCCTAACAACTCGAGTTATTGAGACTAGTTGGTTTATGACATGGTATTAGAGCTGGTTTGTCATTGAGGTCACTTGTTCAATCATCACGGCCCCCAATATTAACCGTTGTCTTCAAGCACATGGTACGACATACCTGTGCAAACTTCAAGCCCACGAGTCGGCTTCGTTTGAGGGGACGTGTAAGGAAGTGATTAAGTATCATACATGGGCCTCTCCCAACAACTCAAGTAATTGGGACCAGTTGGTTTATGACAGACAACACTATAACCCCCCAATACCTTGCTTTGGTTGAAATATTACCTTTTGTGCATGAGCTAGGAGCCCAAATTGTTTAGTTAACAAAGCCTGGTTGAAGGCTCCAAATTCTTGGAACCCAAAGTCTACTATCGGTCAAAATCTTCCTAGAGCTCTAATGAATAAGATGTCTGAATTTTCAACAGAGAGCACCAGATCTAACCACATGGTTGTTCAAACGTTGACATGTGTCTAGAGGAATCTTAAAGCAAGACATCCCATTCGCCGAGACATTAGTAGCAGATGATCGAATAAGGATATCCTTAGCATCCCTAGACATAGGCGTTTGTTTCCACCCTTGGAGTTTCTTGGTGAGCTTCTCTTCAATGAAGTGAAGTGAGTCTGCACAATGATATCCATTTTTCTATATTTTGAGAAAAAAATTCAAAACCTTTTGCTCCCATCTTAGCACTATTATATTATGATCTTACCATTATGGTAAAAACCGACAGCAAAATGAAGGAAAATTTTTTGCTAAAAATTAATGATAATACTTCATATTGTACGATCACTGTCATATATATTCACTTTATACCATTATGATAAGATTCCACAATAGAATCTAACTAATGTCATGTCATATCATAATCTTATCACTATACTAACACTGTACAACGCCATAAGACCATGCTGCATAATGACGTTACCATATGACATTAATAAGATTGCAGGAGTATTTTTTGCTAAAATATTAAATGGATGGCATCTTGCAAAGCACAAAAACCTAAATTTTCTATGAAGATATTTTTTGAATCAAAATTTAAAGAAATGAGATGTGATTTATTGAGTATTTGTGCACCATTGAAACTGCCACTTGGAAATCCTTAAAGCACAGTCCCTATTAAAAATCCATAAGTTTTGAATTTGCCTTATTATTTTTTATAATGTGAACCATTAGATCTAATATATTATTTCTTCCCAAATCAATTAATATAATTGAGTTATGAAATTATACGTAATAAATGGATTTTGTATTCCAATCTATTCATGGGTAACATAACACAGTAACTGAATTCTCATCTTTGGGGAATACTCACAAGAGGGCAAAGGCCAAAGCATAGCCAACCCATAACCGCCTTTCTAACATTCCGTTCTAATAGAAAAGTCGACGATTTATAATTTCGACAAAACAAGAAGGACAACGAGTAGAAGGTTGAGATTTGGGCTCCAAAATAATTCGATGTTACTCGTATTTAAAGTGTGTGATGGGGTTAGTTCTCGAGTCTCACCACACCAGATCAATCTATCATAAAGTACCGAATGTAAATTGTAATATAGTCTAATCTTTGATCCTCTGAATTTTGAACCAGATTAAATCAAACAACTGAATTAGATCAAATGCATTGATGATCTGTGTGATCCTAAGATTCTAACAAGATGACTAAAACTAAAGTGGATCATAATTAAGCACACGACCAAGTACTTGAGCAGTACAAATTTCATAAAACGAAAAGGAATGCAGAGTACAACTGGAAGCTACAAAGCTTAACCAAATTAAATACCGAATGTAATACCGTCTAATCTTTGATCCTTTGAATTATCATATACTGATTTGAAGGATCCTCTGAATTTTATCATACATACTGAAAAAATATTAAATTAATATTTGAACCGGATTAAATCGAACCACCCAATTAAATCAAAAAGTATTGATCTGCAGTTTGATCCTAAGATTCTAACAAGATGACAAACTCAATCGGATCATAATTAAGCTCGATAAGTACTTGAGCGTACAAATTTCATAAAATGAAAAGCAAAGCAGATCGAGTAATACAACTGGAAGCTACAAATAAGCTCAACTTGTTAAAACCTCTCTTTGTCATCATCATCAGTACAAATCTCCCTCATTTCACATCTTCCATTAATCCCTCATTTTCACATATTACTCCATCGTGCGCATTAATTAATCAAAAAACTAATTGACAACATACAATCCCGAAAAAAAAAACACATAAATCAACACAACCAAATAAAAATTATCCCTGCCTGCCTGCCTTCCCTTCACCCACGCCATCATTAATTTACACCTAATCACCCCTCTCATTTTATTCTCAGGCCGGAATTAATTAACCACATCCTTCTCTCTTCCTTCATCTCTCATCTCAATCTCTCTCTCATGTATACACCGCCGTCGCTTGCATGCGGAATGGAACGACACCGTACTCCCAAACAATATCTACACAAAAGCTCAAGCCCAAGCCCAAGCCCAAGCCCAAGCCCAATTCTTCCTCCTTCTACATCAACAGCTCATTGACCCATCCAAGATCCGGGTCGCAACCGCCGCCGTTCTCCACCTCGTTACCGTTACTCCCCATCGTCCTCTCCGCACCAGCCACGAACTCGGAATCTGCTGGGCCGTTGATCTTGGCCGGGAAATACTCCCCACCCGCACCAATCAAATATTTATCGAACCCGGAATTAGCGTAGTTCGGAGTCGACGGCGACATAACGAACTGCTGCTGCTGCTGATCCAATTGATGATGGTAATTCTCATCCCCAATAGAATTGAAACAAACCTCGTTAACCCATGGATTCACGCTGAGGTTCATTTTCCTTCCACCACCGCTCCCGCCATCATAGCTCACGGAAGGGGGAGACGACACGGCGGCCGCTACGGCGGCCGCAGCAGCCTCCTCGCTGAAATTCATGGCCTCCAGCGAGGACATCAGCTCGGTGAGAATGTCCTTGTAGCTCACCAGCCGAGACTGAGACTTGCTCAGCCGGTGAGCGAATCCTCCACCGCCGCCGCCGCCGCCGCGGTGGTGAATTCCCGCCGGCGACATCGGCGGGGAGGAGGAGGACATCGACGGGGACAGCGGCGGGGAGAGGTGTGACATGCCGAGCAGAGTGGAGGTCGGAGAGGAAGCCACGGAGGAGGAGCTCCCTCCTCCGCGGCACGCCAAGCATCCGCCGCAGTGGTGGATGTCCTGATGCTGCTGATGATGGTGGTGTTGGTTGTGGTGATTGATCTTCCTCGCCGCGGCGGTGGAGGCCTTCTCCGGGAGGAGACGGAGCTGGCGGGGAGTGTGAGCGAAGAAGCAGACCTTCCGCTTGCATCCCTTCCCGTCCTTGCAGGCCTCGGTCCTGTATCGGGACGGGTGGAGCCAGCACTCGAACACCCCGTGTGCGAACTCGCAGTTGTCTCCCCGGGCGCACCCTCCGCCGCGGCGGAACTCCGGGCAGACGGTCCCCGTGTAGTGGAACTTCCTGGGGTCGCGGCGGCGGGCCTTCTCGCCTGGGTGGGCGAAGGGGCAGTCGGTCCAGTCGTGGCTCCGGCTGCGCGTGCACCGCCGGACCTTGAACTCGTACATGCGGAAGTGGTCCGAGGAGTAAGGATCGGCGTCGCCATCATCGTCGTCATCGTCGTCCAGATCCAGATCTGGCCTGTCAGCTTCATTGCAGGGAAGGTGTTTGTAGAAATGCGACATGTCGAAAGAGTCTTCGAGGCCGCCGCCGAAATCGCGGTGGTATTTGGGTGATCTGGTGGAGTGGTGGGCGAGGGTGAGGAGGAGTTTTCTAGGAGGGATGTCGAGGTCTTTGAAGAGCTGCTTCTTAGCGGTGGGAGAGGAGGAAGGACTGTAATGGTGGAGGTGATGGTGGTGATGATCAGCACAAATGGTGCTACTCATTGTTTTTTTTTTTTTGGGTGGGGGAAGAGAGAAACTAAAACTGGTGGTTTGTTTGTTGTGATGTATCTAATAATATTGGTGGGATGAAGATGAGAAGGGAAGGGAAGAAATGGTGGGTATATAAAGTATGGGAGTCGGGGGGGTGGCGTGGCTGAAGGGTATTAGGGGTGTTCATGCAGGAAGCAGGAGGTGTCGATTTCTGGCAATTCGAAGCACATGCTGCCACATCGCACACCCTTCTGGCCCTGCGTGACATTATTATATTTATTGGTTATGGTTCTTCTTCTCTTCCTCCTCCTCTGCTGGATCGGCTTCATTTGTTTTTGTTTGCATAAGGCGAGTTCGCTTTTGGCGTTGCGGGCTCAATTTTCTGTTCCTTTGTGGGCTGTGTCTGTGTGGCGGTCTACATCTTGAATGAAATGGGGATTGGAGTTTATGTGGAGAAACAAAGCAGCTTGCTAAGCTATAGGTGTTGGTGTGAATTCTAAGTGTTGAGTTGTCTTGAAATGAAAGGTGGTTTATCGAAGTGCGTTTTTTTTTTTATGGAGTTAAACGGACTGGAGGAGACTTTTACATCATCAGTTTAATTTGCTTGTTGGGATTACAGGATAGGTCTTGGCTTACATGCCCATCTTAACAGGAGGGCTGGAGAATCCCACTTTTTCATAAGAGTAAGTGGTGCGGTGTCGTAGAGGAATAAGAGCAAATAATAATAATAATAATAATAATAATCATATGAGATCGTCCGGACCACAGATTTAATTTTGAGGAAGGATTTTGGGTCTAAATTCGTACAAAAAATTTAGAGATTTTATTTGTGGTATTTGGGCTAGATCTTATAAATGGAAATGGATATGGGTATTCCTAATAAAATGCAGAAGCCCAATTTTTCTCTCTTCGTTTGCCCATTGTTGTTTGTCTTCTCTGTCGCACTTTCTCTGAATTGGAGATGACTGATGAGTAGAGAACAAACATACTAAGTGGTGCGATGCCGTGGAAGAATTGAAGCATATAATAATCACATGAGTGGTTTAGATGAGGGATTTGGATATGAGAAATTTATAATAATTTCGGGATCTTCAATAGAAGGCGTGGCCAGCGAATGTTTTGAGCATTTGGTCGATCAATGGTAGATGGAAGTGAATCCTTTCACGTAGCCTAATTAAGCTTTTCATAATCGATGCATACTCTCCATCCTACTTTCTTTGAGGAATAAGATCTCTATTTTAATTGGGTACGACGGTCATCCCTCTCTTATTTGGCATCACTTGATAGGGCTCACCCACTTGGTGTCTGAAATGGGATAGATGATCCAGTTCATGGAAGTATTCTCATTCTCCTTGCTCTAGCGGATCGTCTGTTTTTAGATCATCAATGGAGAATATTGGCTTGAGATCATTCTTCTCCTTAAGAGTCCTCATCCCATGTTGAGCAGCTATGTTTGTGTTCCTTTCTTTGATTGAAGGTGGCAGCTTATGTTCTTATCCTCAATGTCACCTTTTGGTCATGCACGTCTATCACATCTCTTGTGGTTTCCAAAAAGGATCTACCTGGTAGTAAAGTAGAGTCATGATCATCAGTATCCATTATAACCAAATTTGGAGGGAAACAAAAAGGTCAAACTTTAACTAAAGCACCTTCATACTCACTTAGGATTTTTAGAAGTTTTATATGCTAGTTTGATGGTCATCTGAGAAGGTGCAAGGGGCTTCTTTGTCTTGCGATTCTTAAAAACACATGCAGGAATAACATTGATACTAGCTCTTAGGTTGGCTAGACAATCATTAAAGTTCATTGTGTCAATAGTGCAAGGTAGAGTAAAACTCTCTTCATACCTTAATTTGTTTGGCAAAGTATGTTGTGTAATTGCGGCAGAGTAGAGATGTTGCATCAAGCCATTCTCTCTTATGAGCTAGGAAGTCCTTCATATGTTTAGAGTACTTCATGATTCTTCTGATTACGTCTACTAAGGGCATCTCAACTGATGCAAGCCAAATCCTTGCTTTTGATTATCAGAGCCACGCACTTGAGATTCAATCGAAAAAAACTTGATTGAATTTGAGAAACTGAAACTAAAACGAAACTAAAGGTGCAAATTCTCACAAAGGAAGAGGCTCAATTGGATTATGATCGAAGCTTGACCACGATTGATACGATTTTAATCGATACGAAGCACAAACGAAGCTGGAACACAACCAACAACGCAAGGGTTTGGTGACAAAGTCACGTGTTCTTCCATTTAACCAAAAAACTAACTTACATTGAGGCTCTTAAGTCTTTAAATAAAAATCAACAAACTAAAATCTACTTCTAAACGAACAAGGAATCAAATCTAACTCTAACTCTAACGAGGAAACATAAATCCAAACTAGAAAAAGGAAAGAATGCCCGGTTGCTTAACACACAAGTTGTTGCCTTTCTTGCGCAAGTGAGGAAACTCAGCCTTCATAGTTACTTTGAGGGTTTTCGTTCGAAGCTTTCCAAGAAGCTTCGAACCAATCGGGCTTCAGTCACTTCTTCTCCCAATCACCAGCTTCAATCTCCAACTCCCAGTTCCCTTCAAATGTAACCCATTCGTTATAAGCTTTCGGAGTAAGCATCTCGAACTGTAACATCCCGTTCTGGTAACCCATATTTCGATGGCTAGAAAATTTCACGATTTAAAATCGAGCATTTCGACACTATTTAGACGAAAATCGGATTATCGATCGATCGGATAAGTATACGTATTAATTATATATATATATATATATATTAAGCGGCCGGGTATAAATACTTCACCCGTGGCCATTCTTTCAATTCTCATCATCTTTTCTTCTTCCATTCTGAGCCGAGAGAAACAGAGAGGAACAGAGCGCTTGGCCAAGAATTCAAAAGCTCAAATCTTGAGCTCTAGTGATCCAAAAATCCCGTAAGTAATGCCTAATTCATCTATGCATCGTGATTTATCGATTTAGAGCTTTAAAACGAGTTTTTGGTTCAGGAATTTCTTGAATTCTCGATAAGCCAAATTAGAGTTTCGGAGTATCCGGAAGCCGGATTGAGCCCAAATTTCATATACGAGCTTCCTGCAGCGAGGTAATCAATCCTCTAGTTCTAATCCCTGAATTTTGACAATTATTTAAGCCGGGGTCCAAACCGCTGAATTTAGCTCCGGCCAGGGTTTGATGTGTTTTTATCGAGAATTTCACCCAGAGCCTAGAACTAATATTGACGGGGATACTGCAGGGGATATTAGGACAGTCTCGGATTTTAATTCGGGGTTTGTTCGTGAAATTGACGTTTTAGTACGGGAGGCTAGAACCGGTGTTTGAACGACCAGAACTGGTGAGGGATTAGCACGGCATACAGGGTTTGTCGTATCACGATAATTGTATTGATGCTTAGAATTGATCTAGGTGAACTAGAATGGCATGATTAGGGGTGTATGAACTTTTGTGCTATATGTTGAACCCTGAATTGCTGTATGATATTATTGACTTGCCCTAATCGATATGAACCTTGTTTATGCTGATGATTGTGTATATGTTGCAAATTGTGGGTTTGACTGTTAATATGCTTTACGATTGTTCGAGAAGGTGATTAGGTATGATTTTTCATGATTGTTGTATTTGGATGCACAAGTGGGAAAATATATATTCCCTGGTGATATTATGATTTTTAAGGGGGATGACTTGCACGAGGGTTTATCCCAAGGAAGTGCAATTATACGACTCCTGATTTACCTATGTTGAGCCAATTATGGTCAGGTCAAGTACATGTGCAAGTAATGAATTATGATTAAGCAAGATGAGATATGAATCATGTATAAGGATACCAAATATGAGTGTTGTGGTCTCACGGTCAACTACATAGTAATTAGGGCTCCCTATGCTATTACTCTATTATGATAAGTATGATAGTCACACCTCACATGTGGTGGTGACTGAAGATTTCTTACGAGATATGACCACACCCAGAGTGGTGTCGGGGTATGACTACACCCATAGTGATGTAGGGTATGTATGACCACATCCGACGGGATGTTGGGGTATGTATGACTACATCCGACGGGATGTGGGGTATGTTTCTCGGGAGAGTTATTAGCATGGGAGTAGCCAGACGCCTATAAGTAAAACATAATTAGATGCATATGCATAAGTCAAGGTGGTTGAGTCTTTTGCCTATTGGGATGTCGGAGGGCTGAGATATGATCCTAGTGCTTTGGCTTGTTTGCTAGATGTATGGTAGTGGTATGCTATGTTATGAACTCACGATGCTATGATTATCTCACTCAGCTATGAGCTGACCCTCTTTTATTCTTCTTCTCTGCTTATGCTATGTGTAAGCAGATCATCAGCAGCAACAGCAGTAGATAGGTGTATAGGTAGGAGCTGAGCAAGAGTTGAAGGCAAGATGAGGTATGGTCTTCAACTACTCTGTGCTTGGACTACTACTCGGGATTTTGGCCAGTGATCCACACCTTTTTGTAAAAATGTTTTGAGAACGTTTTTCATGTGCATACTAGCTTCTGATGTAGTGTGAGATATCCACAGGTGTGGAAAGTTGATGATATGTGTATATTTTTGTAATTATGTAAGTTGTGACGATTATAGCTTGTATCAGTATAGTATGCACTTGTGTAGTATGAAACTGTGACTATGGCTATGAAAGCCAATGCTTATGGTTGTGAGTATATATGTTTGTGATGAATTATTTTGCAGGATCATATGGAAGAACTGTTAGCCCATTACGCGAGTAATTCATGTCGAAATTTTATTTGGGTAAATTTTGGTAATTAATGTAACACCCAAGATTATTTCCGCTGCAAATGTATGAATAATATGATTAGGCAAAACGTATAGGGTAGGGTGTTACACGAACTGTCTTCAGACTTAGCCAAAAATCAGTCAATTTCTCAGTTTCTTCAGAGTAACTTCGACCCCTTGTTCATGCACTTAATGGCTTGTAATTGAGAAACCAACCATTCAGAGTTGTAGACAAACTCTTGTACTTCACTTTCCAACCTTTCTCTTGCATGTCCATCGACTAGGATGTAAGATATGAGCCTCCAAAGTAAGCACCATGAAACGGGTTGAACACTTAGCCAAATTCTTCTCTTTTTCCTTGCAACATGGATGGATCCTTTGGAAAGAATTCCTTGCAAATATTTATTCCCTAATCCCTAGTCTTTCCCATAATTTTCTCTCTTTTTCTCTCCCAAACTGTCGGCCCCGTTCACCCTAGGGTCGGCCGAATTTTCTTATTCTTCTCGATCCTCTTCTTCCTCAATCAAATCTCTAATTATATCCCCTTTTTTCCTAGCTCTCAATCCCTAACCGTACGGGCCTAGATCCTTGTTTCTTACAGGTACTTAGGTTGGGGTGTTAGATTTTGGATGATACTTTAATAAACTCGTGGTTTGTTTTTATGAGATTTATAATGTGTTTCAACAAATTTATAGTCTACTTTAATAAAATTGTGATATGTTTTATGATATCTTTGTACTTTCTAAGAAACTTATGATCTACTTTAAAATTTTGAGGTATGTTTAACCAAAGATATTAAAAAGTACTGTATATCTATGGGCCCGGAGTTTGCCGTCGCAAGACGAATTTCTTCTCCTATAAATTTTTTTATCAAAGGTAGACAAACAAATTAAAGATGAAAACCGAAAATGTTGACAAATATTTCCACCACACAGACAAGTAGGGATGGCAATGGGGTGGGTTGGAGCGGGTTATTGTCAAACCCACTCATGGGTTTTATCAACACAAAAAAATGGGGTAAAACCCACTGGATTTGGAAAACTCAAACCCAACCCGCCGGGTATCCGCGGGTTCATGGGTACCCATGAGTTCTTGTACAAAGATGCAATTACACTAGATTTCACTACTATTGTCTACTACATACACACTAACTCACAAATCATTCATACTAATTGTTCAATATTAAAGATAAACATCTACAAACAATATGATTAATTGAACGTATAGCGGGTTTCGTGGGTCGTGGTGGGTATGGACTTGGATGTGGGTATCCACGAGTTGAATATGGCTAAACCCAAACCCAACCCAATCCGCAAAACGTATAGCGGGTTTAAACTCAAACCCGACCCGCAAAATGAATTCTACTGCCATCCCAAACGGAAACATAAATTAAAGAAGGAAACAACCCACAATCGTACCAGACTAGAGTCACTAGACTACATTGATTTCAGTTTTCAAATAAACCATAACATAAAATAAAAATAAAAAATTACAGCAGTTCCACTTCCAACATCATAAAGTCAAAACGGTTAAAAAGAAATTAAACTAAAAAAAAAAAAAACTCCCATCACCCTATAGCTAGTCAATCAACACTGGTAACTCCATCTCCAGATTACCCCCACAAACCGAATTAAAAGAACATCACAGCCAACCCCAATAATCCTGCAAGCGAAGCCCCAACCGTGAATCGGAGCGCCACCCCTGCCCCTGAGTTAATATTGGCCACCGGAGTCGGCGCCGCGGCAGGAGGCGTAACAGCATCCACTGTAGGGGGCAACGCCGCCGCAGCGGGAGGCGGAGGAGGAGGAGGAGTGACGACGGAGCTGGGAGACGGCGACGGAGCAGCTGGGGTAGGTTTCTGGTGGTGCTCGGACAAGACGACGACGACGAGCTTCTGCCCTTTGGCGCAGTGGTCAGCGAATCCCGAGATGAAGAAGAACGGGCCGGACCGGTCCAACCGGAAGAGCGAGTTGCCCTCGGTGAACGCCTGGACCGGCGCGGAGGCGTTGCAGTTGTCGTACTCGCCCTTGTTCACCACCAGCACCGAGTCCCTTCCCTTCTCGTACTTGAAATCTGCCGTACAAAAATTTAATCACGGAATTATCTCCTGTAATTAAAAGATCAAGCATAGGATAGAATTGACGAGTTTTTTTTTTGTTTTTTTATAAAGTTGGTTTACAGAGCGTGTCGTTGACTTGGAAACGGAGGCGCTCGGCCCAATGGCCGTATCTCTCCTTGGGCTCGGCGACCCAGCCTTGTTTGCCGCCGACGGGGAACTGGAAAGCTTCCGTGACGCCGAGAAGAAACGACGCCGTCATGATCATGGTGGAAACGACTGCCACGAAACCCATGGCTAGCTAGAGCTCTCTAGTTGATTATGGAGATGGATAGAGAAAGCGAGATCGAGAATGGGTTTAGGGTTTGATCTTTGATGATTGATTTTATGTTTTTGTAAGGGTTGAGGGTGAATATATATATATATAGTGAAAGTGGGGAGGTGGCGAATTTCTTACCGTTGAGAGGGCACACATGAAAAATGATAGGGAAGGGGAAGTAATTAGTGGACGGTAATTGGTGATTAGTAAATTGAAATTGATTGTCATTAACAAGGTGTCATTGGCGAAAGAATGGTGATTAGTATTAAGTAGGGTGGTGGACCGGATGGGAGAGAGTGGTTTTTTTTAAACAAGTACGTTAAATGCATGGGAAGCGTTTTATTTTTCCCTTCTTTTTCTACGTTAAAATTAGGACGTTATGATTAGCAAGCTAGGCGCGGGGTAATTAATCTCTTTGTTGGTGGTGTGGTGTTTTTTGGTGCTCAGCGGCCGGCCTGGTGATTACACGTTGCGGCATGCATGGGAGTTAACGGTTCTCTTCTTTTTTCTCTTTTCTTCTTTTTCCAACTTTAATTTGTCTGTTTGCTTATTTTTGAAAAATAAACAAATTATTATTAATTAACTCTTGGCATTAGGGTGAAACGGATTTACGGTAGCTGTAGCAGGGGAAGCTTTGGCAGTGTTGTTTGAATGAGTTGGCCTTTTTTTTTCTTCTTCGTTTTGTCCCTTTCTCTCGCTTGTTTCCGATGGGCCTGTCTTTATCACTTTATTCTGTTACGATTTGGCGGTATTGTCTCGAACTTAACTGACGGTATAACCAGCGGCGGATTAGGAGCCGCCCGAGCCACGGCCTAGCCCTCCCCGGATCCAAAACTCGTATAGTATTTGTAATTTTCGATTTTGGATATATATATTCAGTGTTTATTGGGTTACGGCCCATCCTTCTCCATCGCTTTTTAAATGCGGCCAAGTGCTCTAATCAGTTCTGGATCCGCCGCTGGGTATAACACAACTACAAATCTACGGCGTACCTTCGGGGACGTCCGATAACAAAACTACAATGATAAAATAAAAAATCAAAGTATCAAACACAAATAAGGCTAAAATTTTACGTGATATTTTTGCTTTACGGAATGAGACTCAAATCGATAAAAGATTTTTATTTGAGCATTCATTTTTATTAGAATTTCAATTAATGAAAGCCTTGCGTCCAGGGCTCCCATCAACCTGATAAGAATTGTATAATTACTGAGTGTTATCTATGCGTTTAAGTTCAAAATCACGAAGAAATTTAGCATATAGAAAAGGAATTTTTTGTAAGACACGAAATCAAACCCTCATTTTTCCATTTCACGTTGAAATCCACGTTTAGAATCAACGTTAACTCGCCAAAAGTTAAGAATTTCTTTTGCAGTGCATGACCTTCATTTCATTGAGAATCAATTTTGGAGTTAATGTCGAAATTATGCACTTTGAAAAGTCCTTAAAAAGGTGGTGCGAGGGGCAGAGTGGGTATAAATGCATGGGTCAAATATATGAATGGACAAATAACTATCAACTATTAACCGAAATGGCGCTAATCAATCAATTAATACATTTATTATTTCCTGCTAAATTTTGGAGATGGACATCATCGAATTAATCTAATTCAAATTGAACAATATCACCCGGATACTAAAAAATTAAAATAATGAAATCTTCAATGGGGAGGGCTCACAAGTATAGTGGTATTTTTTATAATACTTTTTGTAGATTGTACGATAGTTTTTAAGATTTTTTTCTTCCTAACATGAAAAATATGTATTGAATGTATAGTTCTCCAATCAATTGATATTCTGATGTTTAACGAAATATTATCGAAAACACTCAATTTTAATCGTGTATATTCTTAGAGACCAAAATATGAGTTTATCCAAAACGAGACGTTACAAAAACATTTCGTTTTGATAAATTTTTATTCCAAAGAGTTGAACACAATTATAAATAGAGGGGGTGATAACAATGTAATTGCACATATTTGCGCCCCTAGTTCTTATCCGTTTGAGGGGCATAGTCGTGTATTGTGGCCTATTTTACGCCGGGTTGTGCTATTTTGTCATGTTTCAGGTCTCAGGTGTCAAAGGGAAGGCTAAGCGCGAGTTTCGGAGCATTCGGAAGTCATTTCGGTGAGCTGGAGCCAAAACACGGGCACACCTAAATCATTACACGGCCGTGTTCTGGTGGCCGTGTTTTTTATGCCGAGAGCTGAGCTGATTACACGGACAGGGCCAAAACAAAGCACGGGCGTGTTCCACCAAAGCACGGCCGTGTTTCTCCCAATGCACTGGCCGTGTAATTAACACTAGCCAAAGCACGGGCGGGCTGAATCATTACACGGCCGTGCCCTCGACCATGCTTTGGCTGATGCCTTTTTAAGCAGATTTTCAGCCAAACAGAAGGGGATTCGAGTTTTTGAGAGAGAGATCAGTTCCTAGAGAGAGAAAGTGACGAGCAAGAGTTCCCAAGTGCCCTAGATTGATCTTCAACACCATTGGAGGCCAGTTTGAGCTTGGAGAAGTGCCGATCAACGTCCAGGAGCCGGAATTCGTCCTTCGCAGTATGAATTCCGTGTCTGTTTCTGCTTTTGCTTTCTTCTCTATGGAGTAGTTCTCCCATTCATCTGGGTATGGAGAACCCTAGATTTGTATGTTAGGCTTTGATTGTATGAACCCAAGTACTGATTCTATGATTTGATTATATTCGATTGAGGTTTGAATGATTGAATGACTTGATTCCTGATCAAATTCCTGTTGTTTCTGCTTTAACCTAGAATGAGAATATCTGCCTAGGTTAATAGAGTATCCTTGATTGAAGGTAGGGAGTTGGTGACTTTAGTCGAGGAGCCAACTCACTATTCTGTACCGGATTTACTCCGGTAGTGGAGGTTTTGTTCTTAGGGCCTCAATCTGTCGACTCCGGTGGAGGTTAGTCGCCCGCTAGAGAGTCAGATTGAGAGGGTCTGAAGACCTTTAGTCGAGACTTCAGGCTGTTTGAGAACCTTCCGCAGTATAACTATCATAGAAACTGAACTTGGTAATTACAATCCGGCTTAACTGCAGTCTAGGGGGAACCATATCCGGGTGACCTCTTTAACCTGAATACAACCAGTTTACTTGCTTTGTTTGTTTGGTAGTTTAGACTTGTACTCCAGTTTCATTGCTAGATAACAAGAATTCACTGAGTAGTCATCAAATCTAGGACCCGGGTTGACATATAAACCTAACCCGCTATACTACGCTTTAGGAAGTGGTTTCACTTGGCCAATTCCTGGAGTGACAGTAGAGTCGAGTCAAGTTTTTGGCGCCGTTGCCGGGGACGGCTAGGTTGTTGAAGAAGAGTGATTTATGTTAATTTAGCCTTTTTCTTTTTGCTTTGTTTTCTTTGTCCCACTTGTGCCTTCACGGGTTTGTTGCTTGAGTGTGTGCAGGTGGTGCATGACCCGTAGCCAGTCGGGAGGTTTACTGCCGTTGAATCCAGAGATTGACCGCACCTGTCGCCAGCTCAGGAGACAACAGCGAGCTAGACTGGCTACGGAAGAGCGCATAGACGGCCACGTGAGCAGTGATTCTGAAGAAGAGCACAGGATGGACGGAGAGTATAATCCGCACCAGGGGAATCCTCAGCAGGTCCCCCCGGTGAATCAGGTCCTGGGGAACAACCCCATACCCCAGGACCATGGAGTTCATCATCCACCGCAGCCGGGTCCCACCTTGGAGTACTACTACACTCCGCGGATTGCTGACATCCGCCCGGTCATCCTCTACCCGCCTATTCCAGCAAACAACTTTGAGATCAAGCCATGCTGGATTCAGCTCATCACATCTTCTATCCAGTTCCATGGCTTGAAGAATGAGGAGGCCAGGGTGCATCTTTCCCGTTTTCTGCAGCTGACGAACGGGTTCAAGCTGAATGGAGTCCCCGATGATGCGATCCGCTTTCATCTCTTCCCCCATTCTCTGGCGGGGAATGCTAAGAGGTGGTTGGAGACCCAGCCCCCATTGTCCATCACCTCTTGGGACGATCTGGCTGACAAGTTTGTGCACAGGTACTATCCGGCATCGAAGACTACAGAGATTCAGCGGGAGATCACTCACTTCCGCCAGGAGCCAGAGGAGTCACTTCGTGATGCTTGGGAGCGGTATATGGGCTATTTCTGGCAGTGCCCCCATCATGGCTTCAGCGATGCATTCACAGTGGGGAACTTCTACAGTGCCCTTTCTCCAGATAGCCAGAGGGTGATTGAGTCTCTATGCCCAGGAGGAGATATTCTCACTAAGACTCCACCCGAGTTGAACCAGATGATCAGTACTTTGGCTGCCAGAGATCATTCTTGGGGACAGGGTAGCCGAGGCAGACAGTCCCGGGACCGTGGTGTGCACGCCATGGAGACCAGATCCGGGCTCGAGCAGCAGGTAGCTGAGCTAGTGCAGACATTGAAGCAACCCAACAGTCTGATTCCGGGTAGAGGTTTGGCTACACCTCCAGTAGCTCAATGTCAGTGGTGTGAGAGCTCCAATCACCTAGTGGAGGACTGCCAGGCTATGAGGGAGTCTACCACACCCCAGGAGCAGTTGGCTTTCATCGCCAATGCGCGGCGCCTCGATCCATACAGTAGCACATATAATGAGGGGTGGCGCCAGCATCCCAACTTCGCCTGGAGCAGCAACACCACTAAACCACCTGGTTTCCCAGCACCAGCAGGTGGTTTTCAGCAGAGGAAGCCCTTCCAGGCTCGCCAGGGGCCAGACCCACAGCAGCAGCCCTACCAGCCTAGGCAGGGCCAGCCATTCCAGCAGCCCCAGCGCCAGTTTGCCGAGCCAGTAGCAGCTCCGGCCCCAGATGACAGGATGACGAAGCTGGAAAACATTCTAGCTTCATTCATGACCAGCACCCAGGCTGCTATCACATCACTGGAGGCAGGTCAGCGGAACCAGGGTGCTATTTTGCAGGATCTGCAGACCCAGGTGGGCATCTTGGCCCGCCAGAACACCACCAGGGCACCAGGGACTTTGCCTGCCACCACTGTTCCTAATCCTCGAGATCCTCACCAGCATCAGCAGCTGGATGCCATTTTTACCAGGAGCGGTAAGGTCATATCTGCTGATCCTGTCCCGGCCAGACAGGAGGAACCACTACCTGCTTCAGCACTTCCAGCCGACGATGCAGAAGTGCGGGTGGAGAAGGAAGCCCCTGCTCCCAAGCCACAACCAGTGGTTAAGGAGCATGTACCCCAGCTTCCCTTCCCCACTCGCCTACACAAGGACAAGCTGGAGACTGAGTTTGCCAAGTTCATGGCAATGTTGAAGCAGCTCAACATCAGCACACCGTTCATGGAGGCACTGTTGAAGATGCCCAAGTATGCCAAGTTCATGAAAGATATCTGCACCAACAAGAGGAAACTTGGGGATCTCTCGACAGTGATGCTGAGCGAGGAGTGTTCTGCTATCCTGCAGAACAAGCTGCCCGAGAAGCGCAAGGATCCAGGGAGTTTTACTATCCCTCTTACTATTGGCAGCATGCATGTAGGAAAGTCCTTGGCGGACCTAGGCGCTAGCATTAACGTCATGCCATATAAGTTGTATAAAATGCTAGACCTAGGTGAACTTAGCCCTACTAGGATGAGCATTCAATTAGTTGATCGTTCTATTGTGCATCATAGGGGAATCATAGAGGATCTGCTTGTTGGTGTTGGTGCATTCACATATCCTGTTGATTTTGTTATTCTTGATATACATGAGGATGTGGATGTGCCTTTGATTCTAGATAGGCCATTTCTTGCCACCGCCAAGGCACTAATTGATGTGCATGATGGTAAGTTGATCTTGCGTGCTGGGGATGAACAGGCTACTTTTTCTGTGACCGAGTTTGATCACTGTGCTATGATTGATGTCACGCCTGTGCATGCTATGTCTGATCAGGTACACGAGTCTGTCGTGTACCCTTCTGCACCTCCTATTTTGCAGGACCCTCCTCTCATTCCTTCGCCGTCACTCCATCCAGACTCGCCTCCGAACAAAAAGCTCAAGGAGGAGTGGCGGCCGAAGCAGCAGGTTGCTAAGCCTGCACGGAAGAAGAGTGGAGACCACTATGAGCTGGTCCCACCTCCTACACCACGACCACCCTGGCCGTTTGGGTACTCGCTCGCCTGCATCTTGCCAGATGGGCAGGTCGAGCTGACTGATGATGGTGGTCGCATCCGTCGGGTGCATGGCCACAACCTGAAGCTGTACCTCAAGAGCGACGTGGATCCGCTCTTGGAGGCACCTGTTCCTGCACCGCCCTGAGTATCCACCATGGGCGTCCAGCTAATACGACGGTAAAGAAGCGCTTGTGGGGAGGCAACCCCACCATGGTTTGATTTTCTTTCTTGTGTTTTGAGTCGGATTGTAACCCGGTTTGGGTTTGGTTTGTCTTCTTTTGGTTTGGATGATATTTTATTGGGCTGACCATTGAACCTAACATATTGTGTTTGAGCTCTTCTGTTTCCCTTTGGCTGTGCTTGCCCCAACTGGCCCGTTTTCAGTCTCCTGCAGTCCGTGCATACCGGTAACATCTTTCCCTTTTCTTTCCCTCTTCTCCATTGAGGGCAATGTCGATCTTAAGTGTGGGGGGGGGGGGTGTTTATCTTTGACTGCATTAGATCTGTTTGTGTGCTTGGAGCCTAGTCCACTGTCCAAATTTTTAAATTTGAGGGCTCCAAGTACGTTTTTCCATGCAATTGCCTGCTCAGTATGCTTTAAATTGACAGTCTTTATAGTAATATGCAACCTAGGGAGGTAGTGTAGCACTATGGAGGATGTTGATGCATTTAAGAAGTCTCATTTCTTCTTCATATTGTGTTGGTTGATTGAGTGAATTAGTGATCTTAGGACCCTTGAATTGTGTGGTGTTGTGGATTCTCTACCTGTCATGGACTCTTGTATCATGTTTTGAGTTTAACAGGTGCTCGAAAATGTGCTTCAAAATAACGTCTCCCGTGCGAATAGGGCGAAAGTGTGTAAGGGGAGACGGGAATCCGTTCCCAAATTCCACCTGCTACCTCCAGCCCCCTTGCATGGCTTTCCCCCGCACGAGGCTCGAGACATCCGCTCCTGGCATGGCCGGTAAGAGCAGGTTGGGACCCTTGAAAAGAAAAGAAAGAAAAAAAAATCAGAAAACAAGCAAAACATAAAGAAAAAGGGGTTCCAACCATCTTCAAGGACAATAGAGCACCTTGAAAAATGTGAGTTCATGATCTTTGTTTTTGAGAATCTTTTCATCCACAATTCATTTGTCCTCTGTTCACTGTTCGCCATGATGCCGACTCGCCGAAGAAGCTATGAGATGCTTGTGCGTCGGTTCACCTCGTAAGCTGCTAAATGATCTAGGAAGTCCTCTACCTACGATCTAGGTTGTTTGTTGCTATAGAGGTCTGGAGAGTTGCATTGGTTTGAGTTAGGTTTGCTTGGGGACAAGCAAACGGTTAAGTGTGGGGGAGTTTGATAACAATGTAATTGCACATATTTGCGCCCCTAGTTCTTATCCGTTTGAGGGGCATAGTCGTGTATTGTGGCCTATTTTACGCCGGGTTGTGCTATTTTGTCATGTTTCAGGTCCCAGGTGTCAAAGGGAAGGCTAAGCGCGAGTTTCGGGGCATTCGGAAGTCATTTCGGTGAGCTGGAGCCAAAACACGGGCACACCTAAATCATTACACGGCCGTGTTCTGGTGGCCGTGTTTTTTATGCCGAGAGCTGAGCTGATTACACGGACAGGGCCAAAACAAAGCACGGGCGTGTTCCACCAAAGCACGGCCGTGTTTCTCCCAATGCACTAGCCAAAGCACGGGCGGGCTGAATCATTACACGGCCGTGCCCTCGATCGTGCTTTGGCTGATGCCTTTTTAAGCAGATTTTCAGCCAAACAGAAGGGGATTCGAGTTTTTGAGAGAGAGATCAGTTCCTAGAGAGAGAAAGTGACGAGCAAGAGTTCCCAAGTGCCCTAGATTGATCTTCAACACCATTGGAGGCCAGTTTGAGCTTGGAGAAGTGCCGATCAACGTCCAGGAGCCGGAATCCGTCCTTCGCAGTATGAATTCCGTGTCTGTTTCTGCTTTTGCTTTCTTCTCTATGGAGTAGTTCTCCCATTCATCTGGGTATGAAGAACCCTAGATTTGTATGTTAGGCTTTGATTGTATGAACCCAAGTACTGATTCTATGATTTGATTATATTCGATTGAGGTTTGAATGATTGAATGACTTGATTCCTGATCAAATTCCTGTTGTTTCTGCTTTAACCTAGAATGAGAATATCTGCCTAGGTTAATAGAGTATCCTTGATTGAAGGTAGGGAGTTGGTGACTTTAGTCGAGGAGCCAACTCACTATTCTGTACCGGATTTACTCCGGTAGTGGAGGTTTTGTTCTTAGGGCCTCAATCTGTCGACTCCGGTGGAGGTTAGTCACCCGCTAGAGAGTTAGATTGAGAGGGTCTGAAGACCTTTAGTCGAGACTTCAGGCTGTTTAAGAACCTTCCGCAGTATAACTATCATAGAAACTGAACTTGGTAATTACAATCCGGCTTAACTGCAGTCTAGGGGGAACCATATCCGGGTGACCTCTTTAACCTAAATACAACCAGTTTACTTGCTTTGTTTGTTTGGTAGTTTAGACTTGCACTCTAGTTTCATTGCTAGATAACAAGAATTCACTGAGTAGTCATCAAATCTAGGACCCGGGTTGACATATAAACCTAACCCGCTATACTACGCTTTAGGAAGTGGTTTCACTTGGCCAATTCCTGGAGTGACAGTAGAGTCGAGTCAAGGGGCACGTTTGTTATTTTTATTATACAAAATTAGCAGGCACACGCATGCGGACCAATTTGTCAATTAGGAGGCACATGCAAGAGATAATAATTTTAGGTACTAAAATGTAATCTTTCATCATATTTTTAGGACTTATATGTACAAAATTTTAATTTTAGGTACTGAATCTCAAAATCTATTAAGTGTAGGTATCAAACTGTAATTTACATATGAAACTACAAGTTTCTCAAAACATGCCACAAGTTCCTCGAAACACACCATAAACCTCATAAAGCATACAATAAATTTACTAAAGTAGTTCACAAGTTTCTTAAAACACACTTTTACAAAGTCGTGGAGGTCATGCTAATAGAGGCAGAGGTCGTGGCCGCTATCTACGGGCTCAACAACAAGTCCTGGCCCACTCGTCTGCCTATTCAATCCCTCAATCTTAGCCCATATCGACTTATTATCCTAACCCATTTACAAAGCCTTTGTTTGTAGGAGTTCTTAGTACGTCATAGTCATAGGTTGTTGTCTGCCATAATTGTGGGAGAATGGGTCATATTCGGCTCAATTACCAAGTCTACAACACCCTTCTTCTCACCCATCTTTGTACCTAGCCCAACCCTCCTAACCTGTTCATTCTTCTCAATAATGGCTTCTCAATTTTGGTGCAAATCATCATATTACCTTTGATATGGATAATCTGGCCCATTATTCTGAGCATAATGGTTTCGATCAAGTCACTTTTGGTAATGGTAAATCTCTCCCCATCACTCATTCTTGCTCCTCTATTGCTCTTGTGCCAGATTAATCTATGTCTCTTGATAACATTTTTAGTGTTAAAATGCACCTCATATTCTTCTTTCCGTCATTTCTCTTACTCGCTCTAACCCCATCTTCATTGAATTCTTAGATTCTTATTTTGTCATTAAGGACCGCCACACGAAGCATGAACTTTATCATGGCTCTACGATTGATGGACTTTACTCTCTTCCTCTTCACCTCAACCGGTGCATTGCTCAGGTGATTTTGCTGCTTCCATTGATCTCTAGAATCAGTGTCTTGGTCATGCCAATTTTTAGTTGTTGAACACCTTTTGTATACTAAAGGTTGAACCCCCCAGAAGTCAGAATCTCCCATATATGCCTCAGAACACAAGCTCTGTTCCATATACTAAAATTGAGAATTCCAAGCCCACCTTTTTTCTTAGGAATTCCTATTTATCCCAAGCCATTATTGCTCTTTTCCTGACCCCGTCCTCAGATGAATCCTATAAAAATTCATTACAAAGTCTCTCAACTTCCTTGATAACGAACTGAAGCAACAAGAAAATATAAAGCCAATACTGGAGAGTGCTAGAGATGACTATTGTTATAAGCTGAATCTTGCTAGCAAAGCTGAATAACTTAGATCTCCAACTTCTTAATCGTTGAGTAATTTTATCCACTAGTGCCTAACAATCTTGCATTGTTAGCTTTCCTGTAATCAGTGGAACACCTAGATACTTCACTGGGAGAGTTCCTAGAGGGAACTCAGTATAAGCAAATATGGAAGACATCTCCTCTTTGGAAATCCCTGCACAAATAGTTGGCACTTTGCTGGGTTGCATCTCAACCCTAAAATCTTGTTGTCCATTAATCTCATTATCCCTGCAACCCCTCTAATTGAGCCGTTTGTGAACATCATTAATTCATCCACAAAACACAAATGTGTTATCATAAGAGGCTTACACCTGGAATGAAAGGGAATCTGATTCTCAAGCACTGCCTTCCTAGCCAAACAATCAAAAACTTACATTGCTATTATGAACATCTAAGAATACAAAGGGTCTTCCTGCCTCAATCCTTTACATGCTTTGATGTTCCCACAGAGCCCCCATTAGCTAACACTTTAATAGTTGGAGTAGTTATACAGACATACAACAACTTAAGGAAACCAGAGGGAAACCCCATTACTTCCATGACAGTAAAGAAGAAGTTCCACATCATCTTTCCTTAATAGCATCTCCCGATAAAGTAACTTCCTCTCTGCCTCCTTATTAGGACTGTAAACAAAAACTATTATAAATGACTTTGCAACCTCTACAAGTATCTGTATAAAATGTTCACCCTCTTCTAAACGAGTAACCTACAATCCTGCCCTCCAAAAAATCCACACTCTCCCCAGTTTTGACTTAACATAGTTATCTAAATGTTGTCAGGCAGAAAAAGCACCTGTCATTATTGCCTTACTATTTTCTTCTGTCACTCTATTTTCTTGTAGGCCTACTATATCTATATTCTTTACCCTCAACTGCTCTAAAACAACTAAGTGCTTATCAGGAGAATTGAATCCCCTGATATTCTAGCTTAACAACTTCATTTACCTCTCTTTTGGACTCTTCCTCTCCCTTTAGGAGGAGAAGGAGGGAAGTTCACCACAAGTCTGACACCTGCTCTACTTCTGTTCAAACTGGGATAAGTTCTTTCATCAATGAAAGCCTGCCTCTGAACCCCCTTACTACTTGAACCAACCAATCCACACTTTCTGCTTCCTGTGAACCACCAGAGTAAAACCATCCTTATCCACCAACCCACTTCTTGGAGAAGGGGTATGTGTCACATTTTTTGCCTCATCTGGTATCACTTCCTCTTCAACCTCCTTCCCTTTTTTTGTGTGCTTCAGCTTCTACCAGAGAAGCTTTCGCCTTCTCCTGAGACACCAACTCAACTTCTACTGCCTGAGAATCATTCTTCTGAGTGCCTATAGCTACTGGGATTTCCTGATTTCCTGGAATTTCACCTATCTTTCTTAGTCCATATATGTTGTTGAACTCCCACTGGCTGAGCAGAGTTATACCCAAAACATTTATATTTCTCATAAAGTTTGGCATATGACAATACACAACATCAATAAATAGTTCTGGCAATCCATCTGGGGTGACACTCAGCTTCTTTACCTTCTTAGCAGTTGCCTTGACCTCCACACAAATTTGTGCAAAACCCACTTTTCAACCATGAGTTGTAGATTTATCCGTACAAAGGTCGACCCAATGAACTAGCCACTCTTTCTAACCCTTCCTTGGATGTGAGCTCTATTGGCAAGTTAGAGAGCTTGATCCACAAAGGCAACACAGAATTATCAATCTTTAGTGGGCTGATCCCGGACTCTCATTTGCGAAGAAACAACAGATTCTCCCGACGATGCCATAGTCCATTTTCAAACCATGGTATACAAATCAACACAAACTATACAAAACTTATTATAAAAATATACGAACCGGCAATAAATAGTATACAAACTAGTGCAACAAAGTATATAAACCATAAAATAGAATTAAAAATTAATATTATAAAGTGGACACCATAGATAACTTAAGTATACAAACTAATACTCCTTAAAGGCAAATCTCAAATCTACCGCTCCGAACGCATTGAACCGGGCTCTGATACCGTTTGTCAAAATCCGGTAGCTCCATAGTATGATATTGTCCGCTTTGGACCAAGCCCGTTTCCCAAAATACCTCATACTAATTGGGCTAGTTGAACACTAATATACAAAAGTTTCTTCTATTGTATTTTTGATGTGATACTTGGATTGTTACCTAACAAGTGATAATTTCAGTTCTCCCAAGAGAAAGTGGGAGGAGAAAGTTCAGACCAAATCTTCATCGCAATTCGCCTGGACACCTATATCCGCTACTCCATTATCAATTAATCGCGCACCAAATCACTCTTTTGCAAGAACACATCAGTATTTTGCAGCAAGCTTTTCAACACAATAGACTTGCATTCTTGAACAGTTGTTTGGATAACAAGCATCCTTGAACAGACTATGCAGCTATGTACACTCTTCATGTGTAGCTGTTGGCTTCTTGACATTGGTCCTGAACTTGCCAGAAATTGACGTGAACAAATCACGAATAAAGCATAGCTCAACTCAAATGGCATCCTACTGCCAAATTAGTTTCCACCACAAGTAATGACAACAGCAATAACAAGAACAACAGCGTTAATCTTGAAATCAAGTTTTATCATCCTTACAAATTACGATTCTAACTTGTTCACTCCTGATTCCAGCTACACCAGGTCTGATCTCGCTGATCCACAGTCCACACAGATTACTACTCCGTTTCTTCATCCCCTTCTTCTTCGGAAGAGCGAGCAGAAAGTTCACTATCTTTATCTTCTTCTTGGTCTTCATCTTCATCGTCATCATCCTCGCAGTACTCCAGCCATTCCTGATCTTCTTCCTCCTCTTCTCCATCATAAGACCCGAAATCGCTGTCATCTTCATCCTCCTCGAACTCCATCTCTTCGATCGATGCAGATTTAAAAGCAACCTCCATGAATCTTCTTGACCTCTGCTGGGACCACCTATGTACATAAGAAAAGCATTATATTAGGCATTGCACCACAAGGGACATCCCATCAAATGGCTTATGTTTACCTACTTGCACCAAGCCCAGCAACTAAAAATGTATGGCAGAGACTTACTCAGCATAGCCTTCGTTACGGGATCCGCTTGAAATATATAGTTCCCCACAAATACTCTGGGAGTTCTCAATTGTAAGCCACCGGGGCCGTGACTGTGAAAACCTCCTGCGATGCTTGGATGATGATGATGTTGATATGGCACTTAGTAGCTCCAAAAACGAGGCTGAATCCCGGTTGTGATCACCATCAGCAGCAGGAGCAGGAGCAGGAGCAGGAGCAGGAGCAAAGTCATAGAGTGGATGGACAGCGCATTTCCTTACTTGAATGCCGAACCCCATATCAACAAAAAATTCAAGCTCGTCACCTTGCTCGGTCTCATCCTGAAACCTCCAACCCGAGTCTATATCATCTAAGACCATCGCGTTCGTGTCGAATATCCAATGGCAGAGCCACGTTGTTTCTCTATGATTCTCATTCATGAAGAAGGTGATATGTGGAGTGTAATTCCAAGTGAACTTCTTTGTTCTGTTGACAATTCTGATGTACGGCATGAAAAAGCATGACTCGTGGGGCCGTTCCCAAGCATAAATGGTGCATGTAACAAACCCAGTGATGTCACAACCTCGAGCCAGTGGGGGAACAGTAAAAGATATACTGTCGCCATCAGTTTGATAGGCGAACCATGATGGAATGTCGTTTCCTGGAAAGAACAAGCTGTAGAGCCCCCTTTCTGCAAGAGCCTACTGGACATAATCAGAAAAACAAGATTAGACAACGCACGTCCAAAAGCTTTATCCTTATAAGTGCTGATCCCAATAATTCGAGCTGTTGGGAGAAGGTTATGATGAATCTTATACCACACTCTAACACGCCCCCTCAAATGAAAATCAACTCACGGGCTTGAAGTTTGCACAAGCCCACCATACCTTATGTTTAATAAGGAGTTAATATTGGGGTCGTGGAGATTCGAACATATGCTATGAAAGGAACTTATTAAAGCAATGAAAGGAACTTATTCCTTCCTTTGATGGATATACTGGTTATACCACCACCATATGCTATAAGAAGAATGACTACCCTCCAGGTCACAAAACCAAAGGGCGCCCAATCCCCAAGTGCTCAATGTTAGCTTGAGAGCCCGCTTATCAACTGGTCACGGATCAGTTTCCTATGCCTCTAAATCAAGTCAATCCCTGCAAGATATCTATCACAAAATGATGCAGTTTATGCAACGAGACTCATCAAACGACTAAATGCCTCGGACTATTTACAATCAATGTGGTGCCTTTCAGAGCAGTCGAACTACAGATTCTGCGGAGAGTCAGTTAGAGTTAGTTAGAGTGTCAGCTATGGTGGTTCCAATTAGTTGGATACTAGGCTAAATTGGTAGATTAGTTAGAAGGTTACACCCGACTTGTCTTTCCTCTGTAATTTTTCTGCTAATTTGAGTCTCAGATCTCAATATCGTTTTCCTCTTCAAACAAAGACATCGAGAAGTAGAAAACCCAGCTGTACCATGATATCCACGAATGGCAAAATAACAAATCTTACCTATCTAGATACAGTTCAAAATTTTATAGCACATAAGAAGGATATGATTAATGCAGAGAGGTCACCTGAAGGGGGCTGATACTGTATGTGTCTGTCAAGCTGTCTACTTTATAGGCTGAATTGTTGGAAATGGAGCCCTGTGTAAGGAAGCCAGAACTTCTGAGAAGCTCAAATGTTTGAGGTTCCAGAGTTTCCAAGTTGAAGAAGCCCTCCACTCCTTTTAAGTTCGAGCAGCCCTGGACCTGCAAGCCTGTTCCTCCATGGTAGTTTCTTAAGTTGATAGTTTCCAGTGACGTACAGTCATTCGCCTGCAATGCTTTTACACTTGATTGAAGCTCTGGTATTCCCCGAAGTCTTTTGCACTTGTTCAACCAAAGTTCAACGAGTTGTGGAAGAGCAATGATACTTGCCGGCAAGCACGTGAAGTTGTTTCCACATAACTTTAAGATGTTCAGGAAATGGAAGCTTCCTAGATCTTCCGGCATAATATCATCAGTAATGTTGCAATATCTGAGGTCCAATCTCTTCAAGGATGAAGGTAAGAAGTTGAGAACCGATGGGGATTTTCTCGGAGTGAACATGTGATCACATCGACGCAGAGATAATAATTTCAGCTTCCCGAGATTTGAAGTGCTATCTGGTAGAGTACTTAATGCAGTTCCATTGGCCAAAAGGACAAGCAAGGATTCCAATTTTCCAATGCCTTCAGGCAACTCTTTGAGACTTGAGCAGCCTGACAAGTCTATCTTCTTTAATGAACTTAGAGCACAAATGCTTGGGGGGAGCTTCTTAAGATTTCTGCAATCTCTCAAGTTCAAGACAGGTATGTGAGTGAGGGACCCAATGGAATCTGGCAGTTCCTCCAATTTAGCACAACCAGACATGTTTAGATCCTTAAGAGATTGGAGACCAGCTATGCTTCCAGGGAGACTTCTCAAGCTCTTGCAATTTTGCAAGTTCAAGAACTCGACATGACCGAGAACTCCAATGGACTCTGGCAATTCTTCTAGATCCGAGCAGCCTGACAAGTCCAAGTCTGTGAGAGATTTCAGACCACCAATGGTTGATGGAATACTTTTCAGGTTCCTGCAGTCATGCAAATTCAACTGCACAATCTGACCAAGAGAACCAATGGACTCGGGTAGTTCCTCAAGTGTCAAGCAACCGGACATATTTAGGTTCTCAATTGATCCTAGAAAACCAATACCAGCTGGCAGCTTTTTAAGCGTCCGGCAGTCTTGCAAGTTAAGAGAACGGAGTTGAGTAAGAAATCTAATGGAGTCATGAACATGTTGCAAACTAATGCAACCCTTGAGCTTCAGCTTCTCTACACTGGGAATATCCTTAAAGTTAGGAGTCCTGATCAGCTCAATGGAGTGGCTAAGGTCAAGGAATTTCAACTTCTTCATAGACTGTAACAAAGGAGAAGGTCCAAAGTATTAATCTTTACCTAGGCAGCCTATTTGTCGATAAGCTTGAAGAAATAGGCATACCTTAATGTCTTCCTCTGAGAACTCAATCAGGCTGCTACGCCGGAGATCAAGAGCAATCAGGTTTTCCAAATCAAAGTCGGACGGTATGGATTCTACTGGGAACCCATGCCAGCACAGCCACCTTAACTTACTAGAAAGGTATTCATAGCTTCCCTTAAGGGCAACATGATTGAGCTTCAGCAGTCTCAGCCTTTTCATCTTCTTGAATGCCTTTGCACTTGTAGAAAGTTTTGTGTTCTGTAAGTTCACTGCCAGTCCTTCAATGACCTTAGTTCCCTATACAGAGAAAGAACACCAATTACTCAAACATATTACGAATTTTCGTGCAAAAATCAAAGCAAAAATTACTAGTAGACCGTACACATACCGTCTTACTAGTTAAAACATCAGTAACATCTTCATGATGCCATAACCTGCTGCGCTCCCCTGGATCTACAGGACTCTCCTGACGAACAAGTTCTCTTCCCATACCCCGAAGCAAATCATGCATCCATAGCTTGTTGTCATAACTAACTTTTACAAGGCTCCGTCTCATAAGAGTATTAATGCCATCAGTTGGAAAGAACCCACAACCTTCTAGTATGCTCATTACATAGTCCTTATCATATCCAACAAAGAAGCATGCAATGTCAAGGAAAATGAACTTCTCAGTGTCATCAAGAGAATCAAAGCTTGTCTTCAAAACAGGCTGAATAGCTTCATTAGCCATCAGCTTAAGCTTTTCCATTCTGCTATTCCATATGTCAACAGTTTCACCTTGCAAAGAACAACCCAAAACTTCAAGAGCTAGTGGAACTCCCCCAGTATAACGCAATAAACGTGTAGCACTATCAACATAGTTTTCAGGTGGATCACGCGAATCAAAGGCATGTAAACTTAAGAGCTGAAGAGAATCTCTCTCATTTAATTCCTGAACCTCAAACTGCCAGAACAATTCAGATGGCAGCAGCAGATTCTTAGTTCTTGTAGTAATTATCACTCGACTTCCAGGAGACAGCCAATCAAGGTTCCCAATAACCTTTTTCACTTGATCCATTTCATCGACATCATCCAGAACGAGTAGAAGCTTTTTGTGGCATAATCGGTCTCTTACAATACTCAACCCATGGTCAGGATTGTCAAACTTCTCATACTTTCTCTTCATGATTTCTGAAAGAAGTAGCCGTTGCAGGTGAGGTATGCCTTTGACCATCAATTGCTCCCTGACATTAGCCAGGAAACAGGAGCCTTCAAAATTATTGAAGACCGAGTTGTAAACTTCCTTGGCCACTGTTGTTTTACCAACTCCCCCCATTCCATATAAACCAAGGATACGGACACCTGTAGAATCCCGATCTAGGAAAGAGAGCACTGGCTGTGCTCGAGAACGTACCCCTACTGGATTTCTAGCAACACTCAGAACTTTTCGGTCAAGTCTCTTGGAGATCTCTCTCACCAGGTGCTCAATATTATTTGCTTCATTTCTGGAAGGCCAAAATGTAGATATCAAACCACCAAGTGAAACATTTATGTAAGAAATGATGAAATGTCTAAAGCAACTCAGATGTAGAAGCCATGATTAAAATTGTACACTGTCAAGTCAGACATAATAACCTTTCATCAGCGGAAAACCAAAACCTTAATGAAGTATCCCCACCTTCTAATCATGTTCAATACCAGACCCATTGGCGTTAACTTTTTGGTGTTTGGCAATATACAAAGCCTCAGTGACACGGATCGTACTGAGATAAGAACGGACCAAAATCAAAAGAAAATTGAGGATCGGAACCAAACCAAAATCATTTTTGGTTCATTTCGGTCCATTTTTCCTTCATACGTAAGATAATTTATAGAATCGAAACCGAATCAAAATATAATCGGTCAGATTCGATTTGATCCAAATATCGATTCGGTACAACTCGGTAAGATGTAGACCGTATCCTTGCCAATGCCCTTAATATAACGGGTACATTTGTAATATTAACAGGTTGGGTTTCCTAATATGCATAAGGCATGTATATGACAAACACCATCTACTTTGTTTTTTGGTAGGAAACAAACACCATCTCTAATCCTTTGATCAAGAGCAAACTAAATCCCTAGTATATTAGTTCGAGAGAGTGCATTCATCTATAGCATTGATTTTCTTTGAGATGCGATGTGAATTCTAGTTACAGGTATATAGATTAGGAGTGGATTGCATAGTTTATTGGTTAATTAGGACTTCACATCTAGCTTTGCCTAATCAAGACAAACAACTTCTTTTTATGATTCTCAATGGTAGAAAAATCGGATTAAACAATTCTTGCTTTCAGAAGTATTTTTATTGTAATATTTTCAAGTTTGTCTGGATCCTAAAAACAGAAGCAATAGGAAATTCGAGAGATATAGGCGAACTGGGATTCGGGGAACTCACCCGTCGGCGTGCTTCCTTAGGTCCAATCCTTTAAGATAAGAAACTTCCCTGAGCGCAGACTTCCACTCCTCGATCTGCGCCGCGAATTTCTCCCAACTGTTGTCCTCCCCGATTTTCTTCTTCCCTTTCTCCATCTCCGACTTGAAATCCGCTTCGTGCTGGGCGAATGCCTCCCCGAAGCTGCCTCTGCACTCCTCGACGTCCGACGGATCGACGTTGTAGAAGACCGGCCAGACGCAGTGTCCTCTCTCTCTTCTGCATTTGAGGATGTGAGCAAGCTCCTCCAAGCACCAAGTCGAGGAAGCGTAGCCTTTGGAGAGGACGACGAGGGAAAACCTAGACTCTTCGATTCCTCTCAGGCACTCGGGGCCGACCTCTCCGCCGGTCTCCATTTCTCTGTCGTCCAGGAAAGTGTGGATCCCGTCGCGGAGGAGGGCCGAATAGAGGTGGCCGGTGAAGCCGCTCCTTGTGTCGGCGCCTCGAAAGCTCAAGAACACGTCGTAGTTCCATCGCGGGCGCGAGTCCACGGGTGGAGAAATGTCGTCGTCGTCGTCCGGAGCCATGGATGAAAGAGGATGAGTACCGTGTTTCACCTTTCCCAATTCACGTTTTTGGAGCTTTATTTCGAACTCTGCAGCGACTTTACACTCCGGGCGCCGTCGAAGTCAGCGGATAATTGAATATTCCACCATTTTATTTTTCATTCATTATATCGCATTAATTAGCAGCCCTAGCGTGTGATATTGTTTGAGATAAGCGGAGGAGAATAGGTGTGCATCGGTTCGGTTCGCTTTAAATCGAACTAAGCCAGAGTATTTCGGTACCCTATTATTACTCAAAGGTGAAATCGATTTTGAATCGAAATATATTTTAATTCGGAACTAGCTTATAACCCGGCTTGTTGGTCGAAATGTTCATATTTTAATATTTATATTTTATGTTATGTTTAAGTCTATTAATTCGTTTAAGTTTATTGAAAATCATTCAATCGAGATGCTACATAAAGAATAAATATATAGGTCGAACATTCAGGGAAATACCCTCCTCATTTATGAATATAAAAATGTATCATTAATCTCATTTTCATAATGATAATTGAGCCTCCATTAAAATGATATTGGTTAATAGATTGTCCAGAAATATATAATATAAAAGCTCATTGGAATTCCCACACGATCCATAGATAGTTTGAAACTGAAATGAAACCCCACAATCCCACATAAATGGTTCAAAGCTCTCCTCTATGAATAACATGCCACTAATAAAAAAGAAATGGATTTATAAAAAAACAGAAATGAAGAGTTATTGATTCAAGTAAATCATATGCTAACAACTCAACTAAAAAGAAACCATCAAAATTTGAGAGCAAATGACAAAATTAGAGTTACATCCAATATACAAATAGACTCGATCAAAGTAGTGAGGCACAAAATTAGGCACTCCTTATCTACAGGTTCCAGTAGTTTAAATAGTGAATCGACCTTAACTTTAGTAATTCAATCAATGATTTCTCGTTTTAACATAAACATAGGTTGTGGTAGTTGTAACAACCATAACACCTAAAGATCCAATAGTTTCCACTCTCCGTTGTACAACCAACTTTTTATCCCCTTCATCTTCAATCTCTCGACATAAATGTTTTAAAACAAAATTCAATTTCTAATCCTCCTTCTCCAACTTCATTTATGCTACTTTGATGGACCTTCTCTCCATGAACCTGAATTTCTCTTTCAATTGAGTTTCTTGTCAGCTTGATCTCCAACTCCTCAATCCTCTTTCTTGTATTTGGACTCATCTTCCTCGGGGCAGCTTTAATAAGCTCGTAAAACCAACACTCATCTTCAATTCCATCAATATGCTCTTCTCCTCCTTCTATGCCTTCACCTGATCCAGTTCACTTCCATGCCCTTCAATACCCTAACCATTTTCATTAATATCCTGATCATCTCCCACTTCTCCCTCTTCAACTGCTCCGATTTTGCTTCTATGTCTTTCAATACCCTCCTTGGTTCAATCACTACCCTGACCAACTGTCTCTTCATTGCCTTCACTTGTTGCAAACTACTTCCATGACTTTTTATACACCTTCCTCAAAATCAGAATCAACTAACCAATATCAATTCATGGCATTGGATCAGTTTTAAACTCTCTATGAACATCTCAATACCAAAAAGTCTAAATCTAAATATTCTTTCAGTTAATCATGAACTTGAGTTTATCAAAATCTAATCAACTCCTTCTAAGTTGGAATTCCCATCCCCCAAGCTCATTTTTTGGTTCATTTGATCCCACATAACCATGATATTATACCTCTAACTAAAATAAATCAAAGCATTTTACGAAAAGAAACCGAACCATGAACTTTACCTGATACCAAATCCAAACACAATTTCTTCCTCTCACCACTTCCCTTCCCAAACTAAATATCAACTTTTACTCCAAGTTCACACCCCCAACTCCCAGTGTGTTGTGTGAAAGCTTAATTTTAGCAATCATTATGCTTGCAATTCGATATGAAATATTCGAACTAACAATATTTTTGTTGCAAATTTATGGTTATTGTCTATTTATAAGATAGATAAAATTTTAAATTAAGTACTACACTATAATTAAAATAAAAATATCAAAATCGAAGTATCATAACACCAAATAAGTACTTACGGAATATTTATTGGGCTAGCTAACTTTTGAAAAGTTGTGATTTCATATTTTAGCTTCGTATATATTTTTAATTTAAAAAAATACAACAAATCTACATAGTCAGATTGATTTTAAACCTTCACTTTGTTTGAAGTGACCATGGTTCAAATCTCAATATGTCTATCTTTTTCTGCAAATAAATAAAAAATACAGATAATTGTGAAGATAAAAATGTCCTTCATAATTTCCCTCTCGTTGTAGGAAATTTGAAAAGGGAGATTAAGTTTCAAATAATTAAATCATATACCCTAAATCTATAGAACTTAAACCCTAATATCACATATACTAAGAACATAATCAATGATCCTGATTCGCCAAGATGTATACAACATACCATATGCACTATAATAGGATTTAGAGAATTATGATATAGGGTTTAGTTACGTGATTAATCTATGATCTAGATAATGTTATTTAACTAAGGAGATGCAATAACCCTCAATCTATTGAGCGTACCATAGAATTTCCAATTTATATACACATACCATTGTTTGTTAAATTTAGCCAATGATAATTGGCTCATTTGTCAATGGTATTTAGTCTTTCAATTCTATGCTTATAATTGTCAACCATTAGAGAAATTGTTAGCCAATGATTTTTGGTCATTCACTTATAGCATTAAAAATGTCTCGTTACAAAACCATAGATCACAAATGTCAAATTTTATGTTTTGAAATAAAATTTTGTATAGCGCTTTTATAAACAATCCTTGTATCCCTACAAACTACAAAGTCATGTAACCTACATAGACTCAAAATGTACTATTTGATTATTGGTGAACAATTGTGTGATCAGAGGAACTCACTTAGTTGATTCATAAAGCTAGGTATATCATGATGATTCACTTTGTAAATAATTACAGTTATTAATTCATTCGATGATTAATTGTTGAGGTGGATAGTCCTACGATTTTGATATATTTCACTATTTTCTTTCTTTAATTCAAAAAATACATAAACATTACTGTAGTCTAGTTGGTTAGGGATATTGACTATCAATCTGAAGAACTTGAGTTCAAGTCTCTGTAATGACATTTTTTTTTCTTGTAAGAAGATATTTAAGTTCTAAGTTGAACTTACAAATTTACCCCTAGCTACAATTAAGGAGAGTGCAAGGAATTTGAAATTCTCAAAATCTTCTGAAGAATGGCTATATATTATAGAGGGATTCATTATATCGCATTAATTAGCCAGCCCTAACGCGTAAAATTGTTTGAGATAAGCGGAGGAGAATAGGTGCGCATCGGTTCGGTTCGGTTCGCTTCAAATCTAACTAAACCATAGTATTTCGGTACCCTATTATCACTCAAAGGTGAAACCAATTTTGAACCGAAATATATTTCAGTTCGGAACTAAAAAACCAACGAACCAGACTTCTCCTTGCATTCGCTACTTCTTCTCATTGAAGACCCACAACCATAAATAATCAAAACCCAGTCTTCCTTCTCCTCTTTCCCACCTACTCTTCTTCCTTCTCCCCTCTCCTGGGTTCGGTTTGGGTTTACTGAACCGGATGACCACCCCTACCTTACACCGACCCGATATATACACAAACTATTTTGATCCGTGGTTTTAGAAACTGTTATTCTGACCTCAATTATACACTGTATAGACTAGTTTGGCATGATTTATGAATTTTTTTCAGGCTAAATTACACGTTTGATCACTCAAATTACAAATATCTTTCACATTTTCCACCCGAATTACTTTTCTTTCATATTCGCCACTAACTTTACGATTCATTTCACCGTTAGTCACCGGCTGTCAGTCTCCGTCACACTCCATTAACTCCGTCAGTTTTTTTATGACGTGGCAAACGGAACAGCTGACTGGACCGTTAAATAATGACATGTCAATTAAAAAATAGATAAAAATCAGGCCCCACCTAACCCTCCCTCGTCTTCTTCGTCTTCCCCACCGTCGATCTCAACGTTCGTCTTGCAACCGGATTAGGGCCTGGCTCCCTGCTCTGCTGAAGCATCAACTGAGCTTCCCACCGCCGCCGGATGTGGGGTAATTCCTCCTTGCTAGAACTTCCCGTTCCTTCCTCGGACCAACTCTGATACGACGTCGACGATAAGGGAGGCCAACTCTATTGTGCCCTCCACTGCAATATGCGGCAGTGATCGTGATAATCTCCTCCAGTAAATGTTCTTCTGAATTGGAATGGGATATTCATCCTCGGCACCATACTACATCGATTCAATACCAAAGGTGGAGTCTTCATCTCCCACCACCGTAGCTACTACTCTACTAGAGTATTCCTCCGCCTATATAATCATACACTCCTGTCCAGTACCCACCACTCAAAACTCCCATAACCATCTCTCAAAGCTCACTGCTATACCCATTAATTCACCCCCACAATGAAGCTCTTAATCCCATCTCCTTTACAGTTACTGTTCATCGTCTCGTTGATGATGAACCATCACCTTTGTATCGTCGCTTCTGCCCCTGTCACGATGAAGAAGATCAAGAGCAGAAAGATGGTGTCGTGATCCGGATAACTACCAACTGCGACGGAGGCCGCAGTTTTCGCCGACGTGGTGCCACAGGATTGGTAGATTTGCTCCATTCCATTTACCTAAAAGATTTCCTTTCCTTTTCCGACTCGAACTCTGTTATGATGCACCACCGTCGCTCTTTCCTTATTTCCCCTGCTTTAAAATGAGGCTTCCTTCCATCACCGATCACTCCATCAGTGTTCCTAAACACAGTAGTACGATAAGCTAGGGTTGCGAAGTAGAAGGGGAAAGAATGGGGATAGCGAGCCGAAAGCTGAATCGCCATCTCGCTCTCTATACTCAATCCAAATGAATCGGGCTTTTACGGCGGATTTGGTCCGATGAAGTAACGGGAAGTTG